CAAGGTTAGCTAGGTCAGGACACAAGAGTTAGAGCATGGCTCATGCTGAGTAGTTATCATGGAGTGGAATCAAATTATCAATGCAAGCAACTACCGAGTACCGACATCTACATCTAATATTGTGGGACCGCGGCAAGAGGGCCCTCGGCATTCTACCTCTCGATGGTCCCCGACACCCAACACTAGGAGTACGTACTTTATCTCTTACATGGACAGGCAAGGGTAGTTTGACGAGGTAACCGGAATGCGGCTCTCGAACGAGCGCAAGTTGTCCAACCACGCAGTAAAGTACTCTTGCATTAAGTAAATTCTCTGAGTTCGGCAGTTAAGGCGAAAGTAAGGCTTTTTGTGCTACAGTTTCCTTAAGTTTGGAGGGTACTATTCATTTTGACCCTCTTCAAAACCAAGTGATGTCTCAAACAGCAAGTCGCTTGTCGGGATTTGGAGAGACTATACGTGGCTGCGCCGATAGGAGGATTTCCGGGGCACCTAGCTCGATGTCATACTGCGGACATTCTCAACTCGCTGCTACGGAGCAGAACTCCTTCCCTTTCGGTTGTCAAGTGGTACTTTCTTTCGACAAGTTCTTTCGAGGCGGCGTGTTGAAAAACTGCAAGCCCAAAACTGGCCAAAATGCAGCTCCAATTCGATGCAGTGCTTTGTTTCCTCTGGTAAGAAGCACAGTATCCAAAATGATTAACCCTTTTTGGTGATTTCCTTGCATCGGAGACAAGGAGTATGGGAGTGTTATGATCTTCATTGAGCATCGCATCCGCGGAAAGTGATTGCTCTCTTTTTCATACACCCTAGAATAAAGTTTCATAGTCCATTCGCTTAAAATACCATAGGATATTGTGTACTCCGGAGTTGAATTCCGGTCTATATATACTCATCGAAAGTTCTGCAGCCCTCGGCTAGGAGTTCTTGCCCCACTGAGCCCCACGATGAAGCTCTCTGGGTCAATGAGTTTCCATGAAAATACAGGCCACCCTCGTTTCCAGCCCTACAGCTTGTGGAAAGCTCTTTAGTTTTGCAGTATTGGGGGAATCGGTATCCTACATAAATCTTGAAAACTAAATTATGTTGCGGCAAGGGAGAAGATTTAGTTTCCAAGCCTCATCCAGAACGCTGGCTTGCCGAAAGGCTGAAGGTTGAAGAAAAGGAAAGAAAAACCTAAGCATGCCTATATATTCCTGTCCGAGAAAAACCGTAACCACGCAAAGATCCTCAAAAATGTGTGATGGAGATGGCAATTCCCACGTGGCAAAAGCCTACCTCGATTGATATACTCGGAGACCCGGCCGGTGGGTTCTTATGATGTTAGCCATTCAACAGCTGGACCATATAAACAGATTAAATCTTGTAACTTCTTCATATCGTCTCAGCGATTCCCCACTTGCCGCTTTCCTCTACCATCTCAGCACCGATAAACGCATAGGTCTGGTTGAACCATGCAAATTTTCCTCAATCTACATTAATCTCACCTCGGAACTTGGTTCGTGCCAAGCTCTATAGACGAGCTTCTCGGTGGGCTTATGGAGTACAATGCCTGTGGCAGGCTGGCAGCATTTGCAGTAGCGCTGTAAAGTCTGAAATTAAAGGGCCATGTGGAGAACAACCGAGACTGAACCTGCATCATTAGAACAGGGAAACTTAAACCCATATTGCTGAGGGATGTCATAGAAAATAATTGCATGGGCCCAACACTTGTTGGCCTTATACACAGTACACGCTTATGAGGCTCTAACACAACAATCCAAATTCTTCATGACGAAGCTCACTAAAACTTGAGTAATTTCAGTGTGGCAAGCCGGATTGGGATGATATCCTTGCCGTAGTATGCTTCAGAAAGCTGAATATGGCGATTGTGGTGTGGTTATAAGTTTATAGAGATTTTTTCTGGATAGCAGACTCTCGAATATGTGCACGATATCCGGGGAATATATTTTTGGATGCAGTACTAGTACCGCAGGACACCACAACACATTTAGTAAGATAGAGTGACCGGACAACATAATATTGGGGATAAGTCTTTCAGATTGTAATATTATTTAATCGTCCTATTATTGGAAATTATAAGTTATGAATCCTCTTTTCAAATATATTTAGTATGTTACCTCCTCGCGCTCAAGGAACGTGTCATCACATGACCATGGTCAACGACTATTATAAGAGTCATCGATAATCTCCAAAGCGCCGGGATTATATGGGCTAGGATGACTTGAAGAGTCGTGCTTATCTAGAATTAGGATAGCAGTGTATCAGTATTTCGAAAGAGCAAGCAATCGACAAAGTTCGCGTACTTCCACGCCATTTCGTCCGGAGAAATGATTCTTCCGGTATCATATCCTGTATATTAGACTTTATCTTTAGTAAACAAGCACATACGACCACAGGGTGTGGAGAACAGGGCTTCCCGTCCGCTCAGCCGTACTTAAGCCACACGCCGGGAGGTTAGTAGTTGGGTGGGTGACCACCAGCGAATCCCTCCTGTTGTATGTTTTTTTATCCCTTTGCAGGCAGTAAGTAGTACTTGGCGATTTGATCTGAATTGCGTGTACGGTGTATGATTGAACATGTTCGATAGTCTCCAGACAATCACTCTTTGCGAAATATGCACGCTTTTCACAGCGTTGATACTAATGACTGTGTTTTGACATATTTAGCTCGGTGCTGGCAAATGGCCTACTCCGTAGCTCCTGTCAAGCCTCATGTCACTCATCACATTGCAGATCGTGGTGAAAATCCCCCCGGAATCCGGGAAGATCAACAACCTACCGACTGATAGTTCAGCCACTGAATCTTTGAAGGAAGCATAGTGTGTGGATAATGAATCCTTGTATACGTAGTATGCTGCCTATAACTTAATACATCAGGAAACATCCTGCAATAGTAACAAAGATTGTGAAGCTGGTTGCTGGGCCGGCGAATAACATAACCTAGAAGAAGGGCAACATTGATTTCATGTGCCGGTTGGATAACCTATAGAATTTAGAAAGGGTTCTTTACGCTACGTGTTCTAGAGTTATAATAGTAGTCGGGAGGGATAGTGTGTGTGAAATCAGTTATCTTGCCTACGCTGTCTTCACTGACGGATCCTAATACTGCCAACGACAGGTGTAGGAACTATCGAGTTAGAGAGTAGGAAGATATGGTTCAGGATCACCTTGAAGTGGCTTGAATCGAGTTAAATTGTTCATAGGTATACCTTGAAGTATGGTTTTATTCAAATTCCCATGATTCGATTGCAATACAGGCAAAGCGTATATTGAGGCTATTGGCAGTTATGCCTATCCAGACGAAAAGAAAATAATGGGTATAAATTCCAAAACACGTGTATACGCACTTTCATTCGTATCTGTCCCTGATGTGGGTATTTACACTGTCTCCTCCCCGGCGGCAGTTTCCACTAAAACCTTCATACGGCAGTTAAGTTAGGAGTCATGATAATTTCTATTAATCTAACCATGAGTTTCTTCCTAATGTCGCGTACGGGAAAGAATATTGTGGGACTAGTGGAGGTGTTCGTGGTATCACTTCCTTCCTAAGCAGATAGATGCTAATACAGGCAGTGATCGCTTGCCACAATCGACCTGTCGCCATGTATCCACAGACGATCTTTTCGCAACCTGCTACGGGGCACAAATGTCAGTGGGGCGCAGTACTTTTAACTGTTGGTATTAGAAATACCCAAGTCGGTACCGAGGGCTGTGTAGATCAAAGTCCTGGATAAGAACAGGCTCTTGTACAATTCCCGAAAAGCCACGTAACCCCCGGAGGAGAGATATATTCCTATATAGTGAGTTGGATATTTTAGTATATTTTGCTGAGGTGGCAGGCGGGTTACTGCTAGGTACTAGATACTCGTATTGTTCAGGGCTGCTGCTTGGGTAAACCCATGTCACTTCATGCATATCAGATGTGCCTAGAAAACCTGTGGATGTGATCATCTAATGTTGTATAGAATAATAGAATATCTTAACGTACACCCTAATATCTCCTTTTATCATGTATTAATGTTGAGACACTGTGGCTCATTGAGCCTCGAGAGGTGAGTGTTCATGAATTGTGCGTAGCAGGAACAAGCCACAATCTAGCCAGCCTCAATTTAGAGGAGTTGCTGTTGCGTGGTTGAGACCCTACCCAAACCCTATCTGATTCCCTGAGATTGGCGATTATATAGGAAAGGTATAGAAAACGGATTGGTCTTACCATTGGTGGGCTCTAGTCGGATTAGCGCTGGTACTATCGAGCTGATGGACGGCTCAGCTTAATAAAGAAAAATTGCTCGAGACAGGTGGGATGCCTCGGGTTTGGCAATGAAGTACAGCTAGTCTGGTATTTCATTCTGGCGTTTGCTTTGGGCAGTTGTAAAGTACACAGAACCCATATCTTTGGAACTAATAGGTGGAGAGCACGTAGATTCTGTATCTCGAGGGTGTCGCTCTGATCATTCTCTATGTGCTGTGGGCTCGATGGTGGTTCCTCTTCATAAACATCTTTTCTCTGGATGAGTACACTTCCGATCAGATAATTTTTGGGACGCTGAGGAATTTGTTAGACGATTATGCGTTGTGCGTGGCGTCTTTTGTTGGATTAGAATGGCTGTCTTTGTTGTCTCGGTGTATGGGGATTTGATCATTTGATATTATCTTCCGCTGTACCTATTATTAAAAAGAACTGCATAGCAGTTGTGGCTCTTAATAGTCTTTGGGAAGGAAGTCGATCATATCTTGCTCCGGTGGGTTTAGATCAGAAATCAGATGGCCTGAAAATTAGGGGACCCAACGATTTCAATATGATAAAAGGACTATGAAAGACTGGAAACATTGTGATACAATCAAATAAAACGCCAGATTAATCTGTATGTCGCCAACGGAGAACATGTAGTTGAGCCCCAGAAGTGAAAGAACCCGACACTGCGCCAGCACTTAGACCATCGCTAGATTGCTGTTGTCTACCTGCAGATTTGAAGAGTTATCAATGAGGAACGATTCGATCTATATATTGACCATCCTGCGCTCCTCAGGGCTAGCACAGCTGGCTTTGTGCTCCTGCCAATGGCGGCGCTGGCACTCCTACACAGGATCAGTCATGGACTTAAACCAGAGATTGGGGGCTGGATTGTGCTTGCTCTTACCTTGTCACAGTAGTAGGCAACATAGCATCTTGCGCATTGGACTAGGTCGTGTTCGATATCAGCCTTAACCTGTCCACACTGAAAGCAGCTGCGACAATGCCATCAGCACACAATACTACCTCCCCACAACCTATCCGAAGAATGATGACCTACCTTGGCTCCTGATAGTTGCGTGGCACACCGGCCTGGTAATGGTCTAGAGCCGCGAGAAACTGAGCCCGACCGGGAGTACGGAACCCTTCGTCGAATGATGGCGACACAAACTGTGAGTTGCAATGAACCTGCGGGACCAGGTCCTTCAGGTGTTGGAGATCCTCAGGCCTGATTCTGGCCCCAGCACGCATCATGAGCGCTCCCAGGACGATCGTCCTATATTTTGCGGTGGAAGGGACTGATTGACCGTTCTCCTGGGTGCGTGAAGTAGCAAAGAGCCTGTAGCCAAGGTTGTCAGTGTCTAGTTTCGCGCGGACATAGGGCAGGATATCGTTCTCCAGCTCGCGTTTGTACTCCTCTGTCCTGTAGAACGCGCGTGCAGCCTCACCAGCCAGCATATCGGTCTGGTGCACCATTGAGCTCATTGAGTATTCCCAGTCGTTGGTTTCAAATCCCAGGGATGCTGCCAGGCAACAGGCGACATCCAGATCCTGATCGCCCTCGAAAAGGCCTATCGATGAACAGGGGTCAGTCAAGCTGTAGCTTCACGGCAAGGTGATAGTAGTTGGTGGCAAGACTTACGCCAACCCCAGCGACCCATGGTGGTATTCTTGGGAAATTGAATGAGAGACGTCAGTCCACAGCGCCAGTAGCTTTCAAAGGTTTTTGGTCTCTGGGGATGTGGCTGATGTGCTTGATATGTCAACATATGAGGGTATTTGATAGTACTCAATCGGGCAGGTAGGGAGAGAGCGATGAGTGAGATCGGGATCATGAGAGAAGAAAATAGACGAAAAGAGAGGAAGTGAGGAAAAGAAGAGGGTGAGCCAGTTTGTCTGGCTCAAACAAAACCCACAGACAAAGAATAACAAAGAACCCATGACAGTGAATATGCATCCTCCCGCTCCTTTTGGATTCACTTGGAGACGTGATTCCCGCAAGCAGTACAGCAGTCAGCACTACCACACCAGAATAGCTAAAGTTTCATATGTAGGATATCTCACAGTGCTGGCTATATGTAGGGTTAGTGGGAAGACATAATATCGACAATAAAAAAAGGAATGTATCCCTTGGCAGGATATATAATGTCCGAAACATAGACAGCAGCGCAATATGACCACAAGGAGAAGGCAGCGCTTCCAGGAAGGCCTGCCAGGCTGGTTCGCTCTGCGGACTATTTGAGCGACCTCTTTCCTGAGCTGACATGCCGAACATAGACTTTGGGATACTGTCTCATTCTAGAACTACGAGTACCTAGTAGACTGATTCAATGATTTCACGCTGTCACCTCCTTGTTTAGAAAAGGTGCAGAATTTGCCTACCGACTCTCTGGCGAACATTCCACAAGCGGTAATCCGGCTCTGTTAAGGGTCTCTGCCGACTGGAACCCTAAACGTTTAACAGCTTAACTTTATCTCAAGGGCAGGGCCGCAGGGGGATATCGGGCCGCCCAGATAATTGCCAAAGCCCTACTATAGGGTCGCAACCCGACCGAGTTCGGGGATTTGACGCGACTTCTCCTCTTATCACTGGGCCGATTTTGCTCGAATCATCCGCACATGTGTTGTTATCGGGCTTAGCAGTGAGTGGGTTTGGAGACATTACATTAGCTCACGGTATTGAATTGACCACTTTTCTAAATATTATGATGTTGCTAGCATAGGTGCTCGAGACCCACCGCTAAAACCAAGTCCCAGACTCGCAACAGCGTCGAAATAGTAAGCGACAAAATTATAGTATATAGTACAAAGGCTGCTTGGCAAGAATGGTGTGGACTTTTGGCCTTAGGTCAAGCTTTACTAGCGGTGTGTTGCTAGAACCCAGCACAGTGGGCGGAATTATCAACATATGAGGACATTTTGCAGGTTTGTTTAATGTCCATGGAAAGCCGATTGGGCTCAGAAACCTGGTAATTTGGAGTAAATCGCTCCACGGATATTCACTGGAGCCACACGTTCATAGCCGTATATGGCATTTGTCTTGCTGGGCGAAGTTGACTATACTCAAAGGGGAACGTGCTATTGAAGGAGAATCGAGAAACTAAGTATTAGCATTAAAATATACGAGCGATCCGTTATCTCTCAGAACTACTAGTATCTACAAAAGATATAGAAGATATATAGACCAGTGGATCTGGTAAATAATAAACCATAGTGCATAGTGAGGTAGTGATATATGATGGGAGCGAACTGTGTGAACATACCGAAAGTTGGGTTTTCCTATGTTGACAATGCCCCATGCCTTGATGCCTCAGGCTATAAAGGAGATATTGGATGTTCTAAACAGGATTAGCGCTAGAAATAGGTCACGTGGATAACGATCGCATCGCCATCGACGGACAAACAAGTTCGAGGTCAATGAACCGACCATTTCGACCATTTTACAATGCGAGCCCTTCCGATTCCGGGGTTTGTTCACCCCTGGGGCTACCATGCCTCCCCTTTAGTCCCCCGTTCTCCCCCGTATTCTGAAAAGTAAATATACACACAATATGTGAGAATAAGATGTTCTCACCAAGTACTACCCACCACGTATCATCATCCTCCCAACGCCTCTCCAGACTTCGCTCCCAGCTAGACCAACCACCAAAGATGGCCCCGAATCTGGCGTCATGGCACTTCAAACTGCCCGTCACATGAGCCCATTCTCTATGCGATGCGACAGGTGTGGCGAATACAACAAATGACTTGAGTAGAACTGCCATTCCATCCCAATATACCGCTTCTACATTTGGTGCACTTGCTAATCGGCCGAATTCACGTTCAGGTCTGACCCCAAACAAACGGACTGCAAGCGCGAGCGCGACGTCAAACCATGATTTCAAGCACTGGCGCGAAGGGAGTCTAGCGAGGGAGATCGGGGAAGAGCAGAGCACTTAGACTGGTTAGAGCGAGATGTGGGCCAGCCAACGTGATGGCGTATCTGGAATAGAAAATACTAGATGGCACGTGTATGTGGTATGCCCCGGGTTGACCACCAAGAAATACGTGCTGCGGAACGGGGAATTGGATTTTGAAGAGGCTGCTGGATATAATGTGTAGTAAACTTCCGATCTACTCAAAGGTATCTATTTCCAGGCAGTACTAAGCCAACGAGGCCCTCAGACCTACAGGGGTAAGCTAACAGCTACGGGATAGTCATACGCGTAGTGATAAGCAAGGTTGATTTATCCGTAACAGACTATTTAATATGCGTTTCCTATGCTTCATTGATAATCTCATAAAGAGTGACAGGAAAAAGGAAAGAATGGGCAGCAATGCTGGTGGAGTTCCTATCGTCTTTATTGAGTAGGTCAGCACTATTCGTTCCAGTATGAAGCTTAGCCTTAGTATAGTTTACTGCCCGTCCGAAATCCTGTTTCTTAAGGTGGTTGGCTCATTGGTGGCTGATCTAAACCGCCACTATAAATTAGATTGTCTCATGACAGTTCTTCAAGCACCGGTATTGGCTATTATTGTGGATCACTGCTATTAGCTATGAAATCGAACCAAAGGCTGGAACGAGCACCAGACTTTTTAGATAATCTGATGTGATAAGGTGACATGGAGATGCAGAAAATCACAGGAAATCAACCACCCCGGACACATTACTCAAACCAGGTAGCTCCTCCGACAAACCAAGGGCGAGAGGAGACGTTTCAGTTAGAAGGTGAAATCATGCAGCATGCAGTGCCATGGTGCCTTGGCCATGGACCAATTGAAATAATGGGATAACCTGTCAGGTGGAACTTTTGACAGTAGACCATACTAGTGGGCAAACCCCGCACGACATACGCTTGCTTATAAGAAGCCACATATTGGGCTGGTCGTGTTTCGTTTCTAAATTCGTACTGGAGACCAGAAGATGCGTCCGCCAGCCACGGTGTAGCACCATGACTCTACCCTTGTTTTGGACCGGGCTGTTTACTACCGTCAGCTACCTGGTCGCCAGGAGCATCTATCGCCTTTACTTTCACCCTCTTAGCAAGTTTCCCGGGCCAAAGCTAGCTGCTCTGACACATCTGTATGAATTCTACTACGATGTCGTTAAAGGTGGGAAGTATCTCTGGGAGGTGCAGAGAATGCACGATCAGTATGGTAGGTGCCTCGGCCAGGGGGTTCTTTAAGCTATACACATGTCTAACAACAGAATGAAAAGGCCCCATTGTGAGAATCAATCCTCGTGAGCTTCATATCAAGGATCCATATTATTTTGACCCTATCTATACCTCAAAAGGGCAGGCGAAAGATCCTTATATAGTCCGAACATTTGCTACTCCCCTGTCTACCGCCGCCACAGTCGAACATGATCGTCACCGCTACCGCCGAGAATTAATGAACCCATTCTTCTCAAAGCGGTCTGTAATGGGTATGGATCATATTGTCCAGGATAAAGTCGAGAAAGTATGCCAGCGACTCACGCAGGCGCACGAAACGGGAAGCGTGGTCTCTCTGGACGACATATTCGCTGCTTTAACGGCAGATGTTATCTCACACTATGCATACGGGGAGAGTCTGGGGTTTCTAGATACAAAGGATCTGAAAAATGAGTTCCGAGACGCTGTTGCTTCTGCGGGATTCTTGTGTCACTTCGCACGTTTCTTCTTCTTCGTGCAGATGGTTGCGGATGCCGTCCCAGGACTGGTAGAATGGGCGCAGCCGAGTTCAAAGGGACTGTGGGAAGCTAAACGCATGATAGAACAGATGGCCAAATCTGCTCTGGAAACAGACCAGGGGAAGGATGCCAATTCGAGGAAAACAATTTTTGATGCCCTCTGTGCCGAGTCAGTGCGACCGGAGGAAAGGACGGTTCCAAGGGTCCGGGATGAGGCCATGGTTGTTTTCGGTGCAGGTACGGAGACGACAGCAAGAGTGTTGACAACCGGGTCCTACTACCTCTACCGAGATGGACCACGTCTAGAGAAATTACGAGCGGAGCTAAAGACGGTCATATTGGACTCGACCGGCCACGCCTCTCTAGCTCAGCTAGAAGCTTTGCCATATCTAGTATGCCTCTTTCAAAATAGCTCGAGAGTATTGATAGGGAACACTGATATCATGTGCCCCAGACCGCGGTTATAAACGAGTCTCTCCGCATGGCGCATAGCGTAACGCTGCGATTGCCGCGGATTTCGCCAACAGCACTGGCATATAAGGGCTATACTATTCCTCCAGGGGTAAGCTGCCCAGAGCCTATGGAACTGCTGTGATCTAACACGATATATTTAGACACCAGTCAGCCAGTCAATATATTTCATGCATATCGACCCGACTATCTTCCCTAACCCAGAAGTCTTCAATCCTGAACGGTGGTTAGAAGCATCGAGCAGGGGTGAACGACTGACCAAATTCTTGGTTCCTTTCTCGAAAGGCTCCAGAATTTGCCTGGGGATGAAGTAAGTCCTCCAGTCATTAATGGGTATCACATAAAACTGACTTTCACAGCCTAGCATACTCTGAGCTGTACCAGATGTTCGCTGCCTTAGTTCGTCGCTTTGACCTTGAGATCTACAACACACCACCAGAGAGCATGCGTATAACGCGAGACTTCATGATCGGATTGCCAGATTCGGATGCCCTCAAAGTGCATAGTCTGGTCACTAATGCTCTGTGACTAATATATGCGATCACTGAGGGTTTAAGAGAAATGTTTCCTTTAGGCACGCGTTTTTCAAGTCAACCAAAGTACCGTAGTATACCATGCGACCAGTTGCATACCGAAAGCATATCTTCAAATAACCTGATCTGGGGTTTAATTCATATTATTCTTTCTTTTGTGTGTATTTCTTCATGATCATGTCAATCAATCAATCAATCAATCAAGATTCTATTAACCTGTTCGAGCCTAACTATTGTACATCTAGCTATGCAGGTGCTTCAAAAGAGCCTAGAATCTAAGCGTAAAACGCCATATGCCCACAAGGAAGTAATTGAAAGCTTTTATCACAACTAGACCTGTCCGCCACCTAACAGTCTGCTGAATCCTATCTTTCCAATCCCCATCCTGCGTCTCTGGCCCCTTCTAGTGTCTTCTGGTACGTAGATACTGGTGCGCGTGCTGAGAGGGTTTGACCACATCCTCCCTGGTGTGACCGTTTACGCGTCATCTTCCACATCTGTCCCCCTTTTGTAGTGACCAGGTTGCTCGACGTCTCAAAACTGACTGAGCAATCCTGTTTGGTGCATAAATTCGGCGACGTAGCGCATCGCCTGCAGATGGGATAGAATCCTGTTGTAGTCCATCTTCTTCATGAACATGCCTAAGCATTACGGATACACCGTGGAAAATTATATAGCCTGGATCCAGAGTAACACCGAATACCCCTAGAATACATTAGCATCAGCAGAGAGTCACTTCGTGTACAGGTATCGATTTTCTCGTGCTTGATGGAGGATTTCAACACCTGTGACAAGGCCAGGAGCGCTATATGTCCTATCTCAATATAGAATACCTGAAGGCGAGATATATAGACTCCGCTCCGAAGCTCATTAACTTAATAGAAACACGGCGGCACATGACCCTTGGCCTTTCATCTTGCAATATATTCATCCAATGAAGCAGTTGCTAGGAGACTGATTCAACAGTGGATATTATATACCGGGTAATATTAAATAACCAATGACCAGGATCCACGACCATTCTACAAGCCTTGGATTGCCGAATATTTCGAATTAAGCCAGGTCCTGCTTTTTACCCTTTATCGCGGCCCTGCATGTTAAATTACCCCAGGCATAATTGCTTAAATAATTAACACGAACGTGGTGGGCCTTGGAAAAAAAGAAGGGTCAAACATGCGGTCCCTTTGTCTGCTGGACGACCCTGCGCGATCCCTGAGCATCTTCTGATCTGGCCAAGCATTACACGTTATCTCATCCCAAATATCACCTAAGCTATGACGTACTCAGAAGTGTACAACAGCTGTCGAGTCAAGTAGCCCATTTTCATAACATGGTCGTGTCACACAACATCTGATATGCGTGCCTTATTGGCCACATAGGCGGGGATGGGTAGCCTTAACCAATTGATACGTATCCTGCCCCAGACCGCTATGTAGTAAAAAAGCAGTAAGAAGCTACAGGAGTCTTGGTTGTTCTTGTGCCTTCCGTATCCTCAGGCATGTCTTGCATTGGAAGAAAGTATCGGAAATGGTTATTTCTAGGTTGCTGTTGCCCTTTGACCCAGCTGTTGAAGGGTATAGCCCTTGGCGGGACCACGACTAAGAGCCGACATATAGCGTCCACCTCGATGGAATAAGCTCTATGCGGTTCAAAATAGTATTCGAGCCTGATGTATCGAGGGGCGATCCTTAAATTTTACCCACAAGTCTGATAAGCAACTGCAGTGTGTAAGATTTAAGTTCTCGTATGGCTCCGCATCGCCGGATTGCTTAAAAAAGGGTTACTTTTACTATAATTCATTCTAGATACCGTGATTACCAAGGGGTATTTAGCAAGCAGAAGAGTAACTCACCCTACCTTAGCCTACCAAGGAAAGGTTAGGCCTCCAGCATAGATCATGGTTTCTTAAAAGTCACCAATAGCAATCTCACAGTTCACACACAGTCATCAGTGTAGAAAGGATGATCCTTGTACGAGGTTACATACTCCCTAAAAGGATCCTAGCCAAGGCCTGCTGGTGACGTGTGATTTAACAATATATACTGTCTTGTGTGTACTTTCAAATGGCCACGTTAAATACAAAAGGACCGGCTTACCGTAAATTTTAAGTAGAACTCGAATCGCGCAACAATGAATCCAGGTCTTGAGATCCCAAATATTATCTTTCTCATCGCCTTTGGTGTGGGAGGGTGTGCCTGGTTGAGGTACCTAAAGGTTCGAACTATTGGTTCGCGTGTGATACTATTTGTTGTTGACATCGCTCAGCGTCCTTTGCCTCGCACGCCACCAATTGTATCGCTTACAGTCCGTGTTCTCCCCCGTCCATTGCCTGTGCTTGTATAACCTTCATATAGCGGGACGAGAGGAAGAACAGCCTCGTCGAAGCATTGGAAAGGAAAATTAAACAACATGGTCCAGTGATTGGGTTGCATAGAGACGGGAGAGTATGTTCATTCCTTAGGTATTACTGATATATACTTTCAAATACTCACAACCCTGCAGGTTGAATACCTTGTGTCCGATGAACTAACCCCAAGAGTCCTAACAGATGAGGCAACGTTTAGCTTTGAGCTTGGGATAGCGAAGGTTGGCCTATTTTATAAACACATCAAAACTAATCACAAGATAAGTACAGTTGCTAAAATGTTCCCTAGATCTTGAATCTTGAATTTCTACCCAAGTTGTTCGGCAATTCCATTTTCCAGGATATCGACTCTGTGGTTAACACTCTCTTGACAAAACATTTGGACACGATGATTCATCGCGGTAGAGTATTCATGCTCGCCTATCTGCCCCAATCTAACCCTGAAGTAGTGTCTCCTATATTCGAAAGAAATGCAGCCGAGATCTTAAAATGCCATTTAGGAGATCCCGTCAACTTGCTACCTCACCTGCAGAGAACAGTCGCAGAGGCAATGATGACAATAACTTTTGGCGATGAATGTACCTCAACCCGACACTTTACTTTAATGAGGCTAACTATCATCTAAAGGACATATTACCATCGTTCGAGAGAGACACTGTAGTTGACACTGCTGAAGGCGTTGCAGAGCTGATAGGGACCTTTCGGAGCCGCTCGATGCTAGCCCAATATTTCCCCATCCTATGGCAAAAAGTAACATGGTACGTTTAAGAAACTCACTTTGGTCACCGACACAAGTAACCCCAGACCAGTATAAAGGTTGTGATATACACGATCGTGATTCGGTTCGGGATCGCCTTTGGACCTCTCATCTGGAAGCAGATATCGGCCGCTTTACAGGACTCCAGCAAGAAGCCTTCTAAGAACGATGTAAGAGAACACTTTTATCATGATATTCATCATCTATTACGGCATACATTAACTTCTCATTATCAAGGTATCTCTGCTTCGAATCCTGGTTCAAACAAGTGCAGCCACGAATGGCCACATAACCTTCAGATCCCGACTTTGGATATTCGGACTAGTTGTCATGTTCATTTTCGCCTCTGTACATCAGACGTGAGCACCCCCACAGCTTTGTTCATACGTACGCTAATTAATAAACGCCAGTGTCTCAATCACAATGTGGACAGTATTCCAATTAGCGCTGCACCCCGAATATCAAGACATCATACGACAGGAAATCCACGATCTCACCAGCCGCGACACTTCACCGATCCCTATCTCCGAGCTCGACATGCAAACGCTCAGGAAGGCTTCACGCACGGACTCCTTTATCCGCGAAGTCCTCCGGATGAAAGGTGACGCCGTGAACCTAGTACGAATGGCGCGCAAGGATGTCCAATTAGGAGACTACATCGTTCCCAAAGGTGCGTTGATACGTAAACTCTCCACATACAGGCTCCTAAGACAGGTGGCAGGGTCCCTCATCTTACCACTGGTATCATTATCCAATCGGTCCCCGCGTTATAATGAAGGAGATCCGAAGAAATTCGATGGTATACGCTGGGTAGAGAAGCAGAAAGCGGCTTCCACTACTGATCCCGGCCATCTTTCATTCGGGCTGGGCAGGTGGGCTTGTCCGGGGAGGTTTCTGGCCGTTGCCGGTATGTTCTGGAGAGGATTGGAGTCGATGGGGAAATGCTGATCTTGCTTTTGCAGAAATCAAATTGGCGGTTTTCGCACTGCTTGCGGATACCCGTTTGGAACTTGTTGGTGGGAGATACGATGTAGCTGACAAGTTCAATATAACTGGTAATCCGCCTGAAGGGAAATTAGTGTTTAAGAGGATTAACGCTTGTTGAAACGAAAGGTGGTCTATATGTTTGTGCCTTTATCTGGGTAATAGGATGGTTGTGCATCAATGTGGATTTTGTCGAAATGCTTGTGGCCAAGGTTGATACTGTGCGAGTGCCACTCCCAAGATAGTCTGGCAGCTAAAGAATATGCTGTTGATGTAGAATATGTCGATGGCGTTTATTGAGTTTTTCTATAATGATCTATTAAATCAATTACAATCTATGCTATTTAGTTCTATACAATAAGTCTGTTATATAGTGGGCAGAAGCTATATTCAATATTCAAAAAGAACATATTCAAAATAGGTTAACCTTCACAATCCTTCTTTGTATGTTGACTATATTATTAGACTAATTCAAGAACCAGAGAATTAGAGACATGTTATAGCAAAACTTGAAGAAACGGGCCTGTACGAAGAGCGCCGGTCTCATTGCAAGGATCAGGAGTTAAAAGTCGAAGACACAAGCTCCATTAACCAGCTATCAAAAAGGTTATCATCTCCAAAGAATGAAGCATCCGGCATACGAATCCCATTGATATCGTGTGGAGAAGGCTCAACAGAGCCTATATCATCGGAGCCCAGCTGCGCTTCCCATTCAGGGCGAACAGATCGAAGAATCTCGACAGACCGAGAAAAGATGTCCCCATTAGGATAACTGCTATTGTTAATGCCAACAACGGCAGGAACTTGCTCTAGAACATTGACGAGCCGATCCAAAATAGAAAGGGGATTTGCAGTCTGTTGAACATGATTCTTATCCCAGTTTGGAGCATCGAGTGTTGCAAGGCGGTAGAGGGCGAGAAGGCAGCGAGAGATCTGGGAAAAAATAGCGAAAGTGAACGAAACATATTCTGCTGGGGGTATCATCAGAAAAATATTGAACCACGAATTAATAGATGTGAGAGCCTGATAAAGATGGTCTTGTTGGGATGTTTTGACATCGCTGGGAGTGAAAGATAAGAAGGAGGCGGTGATTTCGAGCTCATTACTATAAAGATGGAGTAAAACCACTGGCTGGGGAGTTAGCTTCGGGTGAAACGTAGGGATGAAGAATATAAGGCGTAAAGTGCGTACCGTCTTTCGGTGAAGATCTGAATATTTCAACCTTCACGTCAGAGAACAGGGCGGTTGCGTCTTCAGCGAGTCCAACAGCTCCGGGTGTATCATTCAACCATGCCCACTGAGCTCTTTTTTTCTCAACTATGAGACGCATTCGAACCAGTTGGACCAGGATCTCATCGTTGGCACATTGCTTTTGTTCGTCTAGAATTTGCAAGGATTCCTCCAAATGTGGTGTCCATCGAAATATTTCGATCTGTTGAAGAAATGAAGATATTCTGTTCAGATAGGTCAAAGAAATATTCGTGTTGTCCTGGGAATGTATTCACCATACATCGATGTCACCAGGTAGCAACCCAGTGCTGCTCTGCGCTCTTCCATAGTACGAGGTGTGGAAGGTCGCGGGCACTGGTTAAGATTGAAGGTCGATGTCGTTACTTGGACTGGTTTGTTCAGACCAAGGTCAAAGACCAATGATGTCGCAAGATGTGTGAAGACAGATAGAAAAGGCTTTGGATGGAATTGGTGGAACTGATAGCTCGCCCTTTTGCTCAAGAGTCAGACCATGAACTTCTTCGGATATTGATATGGCCATCTTACCAGCCAATAAATGTGAGCAGTCCTAATAAAAGATCAATACTTTTATCAGATTGAACTACGATCTCCTGTGCTACTATTTGACGTATTCTAAGACCAAGATCATGTTGACGAGCGGTGGACTTGGTACTGATGGCCATGACACAAAGCCAAAGAAAAGGTCGCTCTTTGTGAAGTTGCACAGCACTCTTTTCGGAGGGAATGTAAACGAATGGAAAGTATTGTAACTTAAACGTCCGGAAGTGATTGAGGCATTCTTCTGACTCATGTGAGGTGAGCTCACTTATACCTGGTGAGCATATTGAGCCTATCGTAGCTGGTGTACATGTGTTATTTTGGTCCCCATCGGGGTGGTTTAAGGGATATCCATGTTCCGAAGTTGGTACCGGATCATTCTTCTGGTTGATGCCTTGCTTTGAAGAGGCCTTTGCATCATTCATCAGAGATACGAGGTAGTCTATCTTTTCTTCCAGTCGATTTGCTTTCGAGGTAGCGGCAGGCTTTTTCGTAATTCCTCGCCGTCGTACCGTCTTTGCCGGTGTACATTCTTTCTTCGTTTGATGGCACCTGGCGAGATCAGTCTCAATGCTTGCTTGCTACTATAGTAATTAGGGTGTTCGGCCTACCGTTGACACGGGCCGCCCGCGGCGCGAACAACGCATTTGCGCTTGGACTGGGCGCAGGTGGCGCAAGAATAGCCATATGCAGCTGGCTTGCCAGCCACAGAGGGAGGTTTCGGATCCATGGAGAGAGATAGGAGTTCCCCTTCAAAAGCTACGTGGAAAGACTTTATACCGCATCCTTTCCCCAGACTACTGATTTAATCCACGTCACATCGGATCTATGATCTTCCGCGCCCATGACTTGAATCACGTGCAACTGGTATTTAGCCCTGGACTGGAATGGAATCTCTGGTCTGAATGGTAGTAAATAGCCCAAAAAAATCTATTTCAGGCCGTGGGCAAGTAAAATTAGATGAGTTGTGATATTGTTGTATCAATAATTTGAACAACTGGTAGTAAGAGCCTGGTAATGCAGGTGGGGGAGGGTTATCTACGACATTTATATATCCTTTCACGACGAATTCAAACAAAGTTGTGAACAGAATGAATTGACCGAATCAAGCCTTTGAAATTGCCTTCTTCTTCCGAATGTCCTTCCAGCCCATGAAGCAAGAAAAGAAAAAGCATCCGCAAGCCGTTCCAGTCGTCAAATAAAAAACTCTATCGACGCTCTTGGCGTAGGCCAGAACTACTCCTGCTAGTTGCGATTCGGGGACGTATGAGCGGAACTCGGTGGCTCCTGCATGGCTAATTGTCTGAGGATCCACAGAAGGGGCATATGTGGGAATCAGTGTTGAAAGGCTGTTGGTGAATATAGTATCTGAGAAGCTGAGGAATATGGCGCCCGCAAGGGTTTGACTGAACATCACCAATGCAGTGGCTATAGGGATCTGTGAAGGTGGAAGCTCATTCTGGACCGCAATAACGGGCTTGGATGAAAGTTAGCGCCATCGGATTTCGCAAGAAACATAATGTCGTTTGCGGACTTACTATCTGCACGCCCAAGCTACGAGATGCCCCGAGAAGGATCTGGTATCCGACCCATTTCCCTGTTGATGTATGAGGTGCCAATGTTGACAGCAGACCATTGGACACCGCCGTGAGTGATGCAGAACAAAGCATTACCGGGAGATAGTAGCCAACTCTTTCAACTAGACACAAAGTTAACGAATAGAGTGGAGGTGAAAAGAGCCTGAAACCTACTAATCTTGCCCGAAATAACGGCGCCGCATAAATGAGCAAGAATACTGGGGAGAAGATGGACACCGCTGATTAATGGGCTGTCGTTTTTCACCCCCTGGAAATACTGAGGAAGATACCATAACACACAAAAGACCTGAGCCATGAGTAGTCCGTAGGATAGGCTGCTTGACCATATGATCCTTTTGCGAATCATCGAAAATGGTATCATAGCGTTATCTCCCTGCCTGTAATCCCAGAGAAGAAAAACAATAAACGTGGCACCGGCTCCGCAGAAAAGTCCGATCACCTGGGAGCTATGCCAAGTATATCGATTACCACCATATTGAAGCGCGAGCAGTAGTTGGATTGCGGATGAAGCAAACAGAGCAAAGCCAATAAGATCCAGCTGACCTGGTAAAACTCGGATAGCGGTGGTGAATTTCTGATTAGGAAGAACCTCGGGGATCTTGACAAAGGCGAGCATGATTGCAACTAAGCCTCCAACTGGAAGATTGATGTAGAAGCCTGTGATGTAAGTATTAGCCTGAGAATTCCCTTCCATATGCTTTCTGAACGTACACCACCGCCATGATGTATGCTCCGTCAGTGCACCTCCAATCAGTGGACCAGCTGCCAAGCCCACCTGCGAAACTTCAATGTAAATCAGTATGGATACAAGAGCCCTAGGATAGGTGAGCGCTTACCTCCCATAACAAGGCCTATCATTGTGGGGCGCTTAGACATGGGTACGCATCCAGAGACTATCATGAAAGCTCCATTCAAGATGCCCGCGCCACCCATTCCAGCGACGGCTCGTCCAACAATCAACATTTTTGACGAGGTAGAGATAGCACATAGTAGAGAACCTAGCTCAAACACGAAAAAGAAGCCAACAAAGGTCCACTATCGAAAGTATTGGATTAGCAGAGAAAAGAGATACAATGGTGAGAAGAAAATGGAGAAGGTTACCTTTGTGCTAAGGTTCATATAAACTCTGCCTGTGAGAGGTTGAAGAGCGGCACTTTAAAGACTTAGTCTACATACGAAGAAATACAATCTGAGAATAGTACACACCTGGCAAGTTGATATGCGCTTCCATACCAACCAACGTCGGCAAGGGAATGAAATTCGCTCGTGATTCGAGGAATTGCCTGTCCTTCTTGATTAGCAAAGAGCTGCACTTCAGCATATCTGTGTTGACTGACCGTCGAAACAATTGACGTATCCAACAGCATCAGAAGGCATACGAGTGCGACGGCAGTGATGATAGTGAAAAGTTTGAACCCGGTTACCCACTCCTCCTTCTGCGTGTTCGGGCTAGATGCCGCTATCACTTCCAAATCAGTAGCCAGCTCTGGCTTGCAAATAATATATTCTTTGTCTTCCTCACGGAGATTTTGAGTTTGTGTTTTGTCTGAAGACGCGGTTCTGCGGGATGACATTTCCATATCAGTCGGACAACGAAAATGTCACCTTTAAATGTTTGAAATTGTAACTATGAATGTTGATCTTGTAGACTATATTAAGTGGGAGTCAGGGGAGGGAATAGAGAAAGGTGGAGGGTATTTATTGTCATTTATAGTACCAGTTGACTCAGACCAATGCTCTGTGGATTTTGGTGCGTGCGGAATTCAGCGAAGCCCGCAACCCCGAAACCCGCATCGCAGTGTGTTTATTGCTCTACTCAGGTCTTGCTTACTTGTCTTCGGGGGCAATCTTCTTCCAATTAGCTGGGGAAAGCATATTAGGGATGGTAGACTGGATATGTACCCTCTGGCCAATATTCCCATGCAGACAACTCTTGAAAATAGCCATGGTTGCGTGAAGCCGGGCGAAATGCTACTTGTCCATGGTCGGCTTGGGTCAGGGTACACAACCTTACTAAAAATGCTGTCAAACAACCGTACAGGATATGATCAAATATCCGGTGACATCTCATTCGGCAGCATGACGCATGAAGAGGCAGCGAATTACCGCGGCCAAATTATCATGAATTGGAGGAAGAAGTTTTTCTTTCCAACCCTCAGTGTGGGTGATACTATGTTGTTCGCCACCCGATCCAAGGTCCCTTCCCACCTCCCAGATGGAGTATCCTCAGCACAGCAATATAGTGCTGAAACTGTTGATTTTTACTAGAGTCCCTAGCTATGCTACACACAAAAGATACGAAGATCGGAACTGAACATATTAGGGGTGTTTCTGGTGGTGACAGGAAGCGTGTTTCAATACACGGAGTGCCTGGCCTCTCGAGCATCAATCTATTGCTGGGACAACAGTACCCGAGGCCTTAATGCAAGCAACGCAGCTCGTCGCTTTCTGGAAATACTGGATGTATTGGCTCAACCCCGTGACGTATCTGGTTGGGAGTATCCTCACGTTCACTATTTTCGACGTTAATATTGTTTGCTCGGGGGAAGAGCTTGCTGTGTTTGATCCCCCCGCCAATATGACTTGCAGTGACTACCTTGCAGCGTTTCTTCGCGAAACGGGCGCCAATCTGGTTAACCCAGACGACTCTGCGGACTGTCGGGCATGTCAGTATACAAAGGGTAGCGACTACCTCCGCACTATTAATTTAAACGATTGGTACTACGGATGGAGAGCCGCTGCGATCATTGTTCTTTTCGTCCTTAGTTCCTTCAGTCTTTTGTATGTGTTCATGAACCTGAAGACAAAAACCTCCAAGAGAGCAGAGTGAAAAGAGGGACGGACAGAGTCATTTGTATTTCGACTGATGATCTGACGCTATTCTACTCAATAGAGCAACAGAAGGAACGTGTATGGAACCGTTGGTGGAACGGGGTGGATGGTGTTTTTTTCCCTTTTTTCTCTGTTTTTTTTTTCTTTTGGTTTCTTCTGATCGTTTCCTCATTCGCCCCAAGAAAGCAGTTATATATTCAGACGTAATAGTTAGACCGTATACACTAAAATGCACTTATTATTTCCATCATTCCTGTGTATTATCTCTTATCCCCTATATTTTTGTCATTCTATATATAAATGCAAGAACTAGACGAACCTCGAAAAGAGTATATCCTCCAGGCTAATAATCTGCCACCGCCACAGACTTGCATCGACCGTGAAAGCTCCGTCCGATGAAAGATCCTCTCTCAGGCCAGAGTTAACTCCCCGAGATGGTGAAAAGAGCCCATCCGTCGAACTCACATTCCCAAATCTCAATTAACCTAGCGTCGGAGAACATATCCGCACCGTCTGATGAAGATCGGCATACTGGCTGGTCTAGCAAGACCTTTGAAGAAGAAGAAGATGCATGATTTTGGCCCCAGCCGCCGGGCTTTGCATTAGGACTGGAGCGGCAGAGCTCTACGATTTCTGGCCGTGTGAATTGCTGGTTAAAATGGGTGGAACCGACATATATGTCATAGAGCATCTGAGCTAGTCGACTACATACAAGGAAAAAGAATAAAGAATGTGTCCCTGTCATGGATTATGCTAGATATGAACCAACATACCATCGCTCTATTGGCAATTGGAATGGAACTCGGGATACGATTCTCGGTTTGGGGGCTCCTTTGTTGATCATCAGAACGGATTCAAGCAAGCCCCCAAAATTTGCACGGAAGCCATGAAAGCTATTTTGCTATAAAAAGATAAAATAGAACACTAAAAATGGTTTGAATACAATGACTGTATCGACTAAGGATGAAGAAATATGGCTGTAAATATACTGGGATCATTTTCGTTCCTGATGAAAGCTCGGTGGATAGAACATAATAGTCAAGGCAAAAAAAGGTGCCTGCTGCTAAACCCCCAAACCCTGTCCCTGCCACTCTTAATACCCTTTCCTATGTTCCTCATCCGTCCTTTGGCCATCAACCGGTGCCCAAGACCACAACTCCCGCAGATGCGTCACGGTAGACACCATCAATATCACTCCTATCAGGGAGGACACGACTAATCCTACCGGAAAAGCGACCAAACATATATATCGACCAAAACTTCCCTGGATATCATGGGGATCTGGCACAGTCTTCCATGCCAGCAACAATATTCGATAGAGTTCCGTCAAGATCCAGTATCCTTCTACGGGTTCTAAAACCAAGAGGATGAGATGAATAATGAAAAGGCGGCATGCATCTTTCTTTGTATGCAGATATCCTTTCTTTTCAAGCCACGAGATTGCGCGCGGTGGAGGCTCTAGTCTTGAACGATGATTTATTGTCGACTCGTCCCACCAGGACGCGTAGATCCAGATGAGGATCCAGTGCCAGCTATAATATACTAGCCAGTACAGCACATACTGGTTGAAGGTGCAATCGTCGCAGTTCGAGTACATGGCTCTTTAAAGGATATATGTGATATAAACCTTGCTTTGGGTGTGGAGTAGACGGGAGGAATCCAAGGTAAATTTCAGAAAGATGGTGATGATGATGATGGTGAGAGACACGCCACCTTTTATGTCGGGGCGCCATCACGTGGGTGATTATCCCTGTCGTTTGATGTAGCATCGCTTTGCTGCCGAGCACCAATGGTCAGTTCAAGTAGGTGTTGGTGTCGAATTCAAAAAGTTGCTCATGAGGTTGTTCCACCGTTATCTCATAATAAACCTCCGCCATATAGTCTGGTTACCACAGACTCAAAGCCATTATATGTATTCCAATAGTGGCTACTAATACATAGCCGCAACGACTGGATGCAATATTCACAGCACTATTAGGTACCCATGCAAGAGTCTGGTTGCCTTGTTGAAGATTCAGAGCGTGGGTTGAATTGCCACTGTCAAATTGCCCAGAAAAGGTAACCGTAAAATTAACTTTCAAGTCCTCATCACGACCAGCGTATGATTGATATTGAGTTGAATTCATATCAACCGAACCAGAAAACTTGAGCTCCAAAGTGGTGTTCGTGACAGACCCTTGCATCACCGTCGTGGCTGGCCAGTGCATATCTGTATCATGCGAAGTACAGCTCTCCGCTTGGAGACGGAACAAACCATCGGAATCACTGATCCGAGGATTCAGGTCAGCAACTGTTGTAGCGTTGAAGTCGACAGCACCCGCTGTTGTCATATTAGTTGAGACATTCATGATCATTGTGTCTGACGCTTCGGTGCGAGAAGCTGAACCTCTAGTTGTGACGATGCCAAAGAGATCAGGCTCTGAAGAGCACAAGTCTCCTTCCCACTTGATCTGCGTATAGGATGTGTGGATTTCGCTCACAGCCTTGGTAGATTCCCATGCCTTGAACCCTATGATGAAAGGGTTCTCAGGTCCAGTCGGGTAGGGAGGCTGTGGCCCTATCCACGCATATCCTAGCAACCGGAGTTGCTTCGTACTTTGACATTGGTTTGCACTCGTCATATTGTATGACAGATACCCTTCTCCTTGGAAGTATGACCCGTCGTATATGGTTGGGCTGTCGGTCGAGTACGCGCCGCTTTGTGATGTCCAATTCCACGCATGTCTAGGGACAAGATATGTCGTGCTAAGTGCATTGCTTGTACCTCCACTTCCACACCCTGAAGAACTTGAGCTGTCGTCACTTCCACCGCTGCCGCTATCGTTGTTCCCATCGCTGCTACTGTCACTATTGCTGTCGCTGTCATGGCCCCCTCCCCCACCTCTCCTAGCGACGACTTCCCCGTGGAAGCTGGCAAGCAGAAGGAGGAACCAGGCGAGAAACACGTGAGACACCATTGGAACTAGTCCAATCTATAGATACTACTGTGCACAGTATGGTGCTGCAGGGTAGAGGAAAAAATCCTATCGTCCCCACCGACGGGAGATTAAGAAATTATATGGTTTTGAGAACACCCGAATTTAGAATGCCAAGTGCATGTCCTCGTATTACTTGATCAGGCTGGACACTGCAGTGTGTGCCATTGGTGGAACAGGTTCTCTGGAAGATTATCAAAGTTCAAACTAAGCATAGCTTCTCCTTGGCGGGCTCTGGTAATTAAGAGTGAGGATGTGAGGTTGTAGAAATGTAGGCCTCAAATTTATAGATAGGGAACTTCATTAATAATGATTATAAGAAACATACTCTACTAAGGGTTGATGCTGGCAAAGCCACGTGTAATACATACGATATACGGACGACAGATAAAACACAATATCTTCATTAATGTGGCGCATACAAACAATGTTAACCTGATCTACAGAAAATTACCTAGATTGGCCAATTCGGGTCATATGACTCAGCATTCTCCTGGCGCTAGACTGAATCAAGATTTGAAGTCTTGAAAGAACGGGCAATGGGGGCTCGAGTGATCTTAATGAAGGTTGGTGTTAGGGTTAAACCTCCATGGTCCAGTGTTTCTCAGCACGGGTTGATCCGAAACCCCCTTGTTAAATTGGGAGCCTTTTCTTCGAACCTGTTATATAATCTAAATCATGGACCTCTCAATGGAAGACTGCGAGATCTGGTTAGCGAAAAAAGTGTTACTTTCTATAAAAATTTGTCTTGCCGTCTATTTTCAAATGATATCTGTCTAGCATCGTCAAGGTTGTTTCACTCAACGCTCTTCAACTCGAACCTTCTTGGGCACCCGCAATCGGTTACGAGGATGTAGTTCATGCGACGGCCATAGAGGTTCAAAGAGCTCCGCCAAGGCAGGGCTTCACTCTCAATAACCTGATGCCGAAAGCCATGTCTACTGTGTGGGTATACTCGTTAGCTAAGATAGTACAAACGGTCAATCTCGTACTCTAGAGGTAAATAAAAGTCATATCCTGGGTATTGAAATGAAGCCCTATTATTAACACCTTATGATTGTATGTCTTGGACTGACTGATAGGTCAATAACTTAGATCAGTCAAATTTGTATAGTATCCACATCTAAACATTGACAATTGATTTTCGTGCTTAATATTCAGCTTCATGGAAGCATCCCAGTTACCGGATGTGCTCAAACTCAAAAGGAAAAAAGCGGATAACTATGGATGATCGTTATTGGCCCTAACCAACATTCCATCGCGCGATGGTTTTGAAGAAGCGCACACTTTATTTCCACCACGGACCAATGACGTACACGACTCGCTTGACTTGTCCACACTTGACTTCATATTGCTGATGGTCCGCGGAGATAGCTATGCTGCTGAGACTCTTGATGCGTCGATCTGAATCGTTCTGCACTGCTGCTGGTCAATTACTATATCCAAATTCGGGAGGTGTATACTTTGGCTGATGGAAGTTTTTGCTGGTCCTTAAATCTGCGATCTGTGCAGGTATAAGTATTTATACACGTTCCATATCTACGCTTAAACATGCTTTTGGTGCCTGTTTGTGTATGATTAGTATTTCATTGAAGTGCTTGAGTTGCAATGTCAGCTTTCCACAAATAATAATAGAGCAGGAGAAGTATATAACTCACATGCTGTCAATTTTCACGAAGTGAAACATTTGCTAAGTGAAGATCTAGCTATCGTGCCGCAAAGTGATTCCCACAAGGGAGCCCTCCAGCTCGCCAAAATGGATCCGACTTTTGATCCTACCAAAGAGACGCTGAACCTACTAGTTAGCTCAGGTGTCGCAAAAGCACGATTACCCTGGCCAGACTTACTTCTCAAATCGTTTCTTGCCGGGGCTTTCCTATCCATCGGTGCTCTTTTCAGCCTAATCGTTGCGGGAGGCTCTCCCTCTTTGCGCGCCGATAATCCTGGACTTGCTACACTGTTATCCAGCTTTGCCTTTCCAACTGGCTTCGTCATTCTCACCATCGTCAATACCGAGCTCTTCACAGCCAATGTGTTTGTATTGATACTAACCACGTTCATGCGGAGGACCACGTGGCTCGACCTTCTACGAAACCTAGTCTTATCCTATGTCTTCAACCTAGCTGGCTGCCTATTCGTGGCGGGCTTTCTCTGTTGGTGGTCTGATACCCTATCTACAGATACACTGAAGAGTTTCGCAGTCACGCAAGCCGAGGGCCGGGTCAACGTGCAATGGTCCGTCAACTTTCTAAGAGGGGTTGGATGCAACTGGCTCGTGGGGTTGGCGATTTTCCTCTCAATATCGTGCAAAGATAAGGTGTCGAAGATCTACGCCATTTGGATTCCGATATGGACTTTCGTTGCAGTTGGCTACCAGCATTGCATTGCGAACTTTTTCCTCGTGCCGATTGGGATGTTCTACGGGACGAACTTTGGTGTTGGCAAGTTTATTTACCAGAGTGTGATTCCCGTTACACTGGGTGATATTGTTGGCGGTGCTGTTCTTGATGGGGTGTTTATTTGGTTTTTGTATGGGCATAGGATTATGAAAAAGCGGGCGGATGGGGAGAACGATAGGAGGGACCAGCTCCCGTCTTGATATGAGGTTCTATTGAGGAGATCATTCTGCGGTTTATGAATGTGCAAGAATTATTACGTGTGGAATTTTATACTGATTTCATTAATCTCATGGCTAACATTTCACTTGCTCAATTGCAGCAACAGAGGGGGATGAATAGCAGATAATGAAATACATTACAGCTTGCTGCTAGAAGAAGCAGCCTTTGGAATCCCAAACTTTGAAATATCCTCCTTAGTCTTTCCGTCTATTGCTAGTTCAGCCAGCGCGCGACCAAAGGCAGGGGCAAACTTAAAGGCATGTGCAGCGCCCAAGCCCACGATTATATCCTTATTGTTTTCCAGGGGACTGATGATGAACTGTCGATCTGGTGTGATCGTATACTGACAAGTCACTGTGCGAAGCGGCTGGCGTTCCTTGTCGGGTATAAAGCTCCCCATGAATGAGGAGAGCTGCTCGAACAACTGGGGCGATGGTACATAGGTCCGTTGCTCAGGAGTCATGAAGTTGTTCGAAGAATCACGACCGGCTTTGATCGTCGGCTCGCCATAAGATGGGAACCCATAGAAAGCTGGATCGCCGCCCCAGATCCATACGGGGAATCGGTCTGGCTGGAAAGCAGCTGGATCGGTGGGCTTGAAGTAGGTTACTTGTTCCTGCATCACTGACAGAGGAATGTGCACTCCCAAGGGCGCGAGTAGCTTATTCGTCCACGCATCGGTGGTGAGAATCACCTTCGCTGCGTAGAATTCTCCCTTCGGTGTCTGGATAGTGACTCCTCCCGCCTTCTTCGGAATCACACGATCGACAGGAGTATTCTCCTTCAGGACTGCACCATTCGAACGTGCCAAATACTGCATGGCAGCAACTGTTTTGGAAGCATGGGCTATACCCGTATCGGCCGTGTACACTGCATCGACCGTGTCGGGGATGTCGAACTGGGGCCAGCGCGTTTTCACTTCAGTGGCATTCAGAATCTCGTGGGGTAAGTTCGTGATATCCAGAGTCTTGATTAAACTTTCGAATGGTGAGGCATTATCCCGAGGGACGAAAACGAGACCACCGGTGATGGTAAGCAGCTTTTGGCCGGTCGCTTTTTCCAATTCAGCCCAGTCCTTATAGGCCGACTGAGCAAGCTTGACATATTCGGGTAAGGCGTTGGAAGTTCTAACAATGCGCGATGTGTCGTGCGAGGCCCCGTGTACGTGCCCAAATTCGAACTGTTCAAATGCGATGACTTTCTTTCCTTTCTGTGCGGCTTGGTAGGCTGCTGCACTTCCGAGGACACCAAGTCCGACAACTGCTACGTCGTATTGCTCCATTTGGAATCGTAATTCGCCAGTAATAATTTCTGCCCTTCTGGTAGTAGCTTTGGCATGTCATGCTTCCAATTTATATTCGTCTGTGTCGGTACACACGGAACGAAAGCCGCTCACGTGGTTCTTGAGGAAGGGTTCCAGGCCTTCATTGATTGACTTTGGCCAGCAGGAAGAGTAAAATTAAATTGAAGTGATTCTATTGATCAATTATATGCATTTCATGTACGGTGAAGTGGTCTGACATAAAGTCGAGCATACATTTGCCTCACATCGTCCTCTCCTCCAAATGAATAGAAGATACTAGTAGATCTACTAGCTACTGGACCCACTATATTCGACCGCCAATCAACTCTGATCCGTTAAGCATAGTTGCTACCACGTTTGACTGTTCAAGGGAGTAAGTTGTTACTGGAATATGTCGCAGTCAGTTGACCCGGGGCAACATCCGGGCCCAGTGTTCAACCCCGCTATAGTATCGGGTCGATCACCCGTCGTTATCAAAATCCACTCAACACGGGCCGCTTCCGTCTCGAGTACATGGTACTACCATTGGACGAAAGGGTATCACTCGGAGATCCCTAGCACTAAAACCTTGCGTACTCGGATATGATCCGTGTCAGAGTAGGTGGTCGGGTTTGCCGCTGTTTTGCTGGGTGGTTATTCATGTATTATTTTTGCGTCGGACACATTCTCGGTACTTAGTATAAATGCAAGTCAGGTACACAGGTACCGCAGGTCAATGTATCGAGGCTCGTCTGGAGCGATGAGCAAAGCGTTGCCATATTCTGGCTGGAGGTATTTGATGGAGCATTCGAGGCCGCTATGCATCTTGCTAGTGGGGAATACGATGCGAAAGTCCGCCAGAGGAGTGGATAGAAGTATCTGAAGGAGTTGATGTTCATTTCGAGCGTACTTAAACCGATTAGATGCCGATATATAGATGTCATGAGTACTAGTGGTCAATTGTGTTATTGCGGTAGGGAGAAGTGCAACAATAGAAAAATACAAACGTTCATAAAATCGGGAGCATGGAATAAATTTAAAAGATCCAACAGGTGTGGTAACATAATCAGAATCACTATTGCACGCCGTGTTATCCCAGGTCATAGGTCATGAACATAGGAGCCGGAGGGCCTATTGACAGATGGTGCACAGAGCACATATAAACTTTGTCTCATCCATTACCACCCCAAAAAAGGTGTGGATGGTTTAGCAAAGTATCGTACAAGATGCAACGGCAAAATTAGCCTCCACCACAAGCTACTCTGTCAATACCCCTTCCAGTTCGTTCATCGCGAATATGGTAGCCAATACCGAGGTTAAGCCACTCCTATCTGTCTCCCATCCTGTGGGACCTGGGCTACCAAGTCCCTCGCAGTAATCAAGCCTTTCCAAGCCTCAGTCCGTATTTAACCGGATGAAATGATCAGTACGTTTAAGCCCTGGGAGCCGTTGAGTCAATCGTTCCAAGGCACCATTGTTGAACTGCGGTTCATTATCAAAACGTATTTCTTCTACTTGAGGAAAGGCAGTCTGTAGTTGATAACACGTAACTCAGTTTATGTCGATGGAAGGCTAGTCGAGAGGACGTTGTTTAGCACTTACTGGGATCTGATCGAGAACCTGATCCATTTCATCTGGTGTTAATCCAGCCTTCCCTACACAACAGTAGTCGAATATCAGTGTCTTAATGCCATGCGACTCTAATCGAGGGATATGACATTCCCAATTTTGACTTTCTTTATTCTCAATCATCATATGGAGACATAGACAAGTGAGTCTTGGAAATCGTATTCCGCGTAGCATTGCATCGTAATGAGAGATGCTATGGTCTTTTATGACACACATTAGTGCTTGCTCGACAAAATTGGCGTAAAATTGTCGACGTTGTGGAGTGACCTTCTCAAGTAACTTCGGAAGGTCGCGGCAGATGGGCGACTTCCAGAGATAGCGCATGGCTTGATGAAACCATACCCAATTGACGAGTCCACAATCCAGCAGAGGAAGTCCTTGGTCGAGAACTTGCCACCCGCACTCCCAAGGGTTCCAGAATCTAGAGTCAAAATAAATGAATTCAAGAATAATGGAAACGACCTCTGGCAAGGCGAGGGCATGTTGCGCGGTTCTTGTCTCATTGTTGTCATTCATTGTGGGAACGAGGTGCTGTGATTGACGTGGTGATGTTGGTGTCTGTGGCCTCTCTCATAGGAAAGGCAAAGTGTGTTGTGTACCTTCTTTCTCTTTGATTCACTGACTGGTTGCTAGGGGAGCCTTACAACAACAGCTTTCAGGCATGAAAGGCTGGATGTCGCAGTAGCCTGTCCCTGGATTACCTTATGCAACACCACATGTCACGTTTTGGATCGTCCTCTCAATAGAAACTTAGCTAAAGTTTGAACATGTACAAATGTACAGGAGATGTGAATACACATGAATGTGTTTATTGTCGAGGCGCTATGATTACCCTGATCTACAACCTTGCTTGAAATCTGATACTGATTCAACTATTTCATAGTAACACACTATCAGGTACCATGCAGAAAGCCTCATTGACACTAAGACTAGTCTTCTTTCATCAACATCCTAATTTACTCCAATAATCCTCCATTCGCCTTCTTCACCATTACAAACGGCTCCCCGACCCTCTTCAACAACTTGACCTCTCTGGGCTTCACAAATAACGGCTCCGTCACAGCAAAATAATCATGGTAATATGGCTTTTTCAATTGTACCTGTTTTGCCATCAGTCATCTACCGCTTTACTTCTCGATGCCAAATGAACACGAAAGGATACTGTTAAGGTGTGAGTGGGGGTGGGTAGATGATATACGTACCTCCATAAGCCATTCTTTCGACGCAGACCTAAGAAAGTCTCATTTAGTCAAGGAAGTTCAACCCGGATACCTTTTTCTTGATTGCAAAGAGGGGAAAATAGGAAGATGCTAGGAGGAAGCTAAGCAGGGAAATGTACCAATTTTCCACCCACGAGATTGTGCCGGGGGAGTCTGGCTCCTGGTATAATTCGAAAAAAGTACATTCGGGTTCGCCGATGACGGCCTCGTAGGCAGGTTTCATTGCGGTCCAGAATTTTGGCAGGTCCTCGGGATTGAGGTGGATTGTTACTTGAAGGGAGATAGATTCTGAAGGGGTCGGCATTGTGGGTTTACTATGGACAGCTGGTCGAAGGGATGTAGTACGTAGGGTGGGTTGAGCGTAGGGCAGAATATCGGCGATGACAAATAATTTAAATACTGTAGTATGCGGGGATATCGGAATTAACGGCCGTAATTCTACAACAAAAGGAATGTTCCTTGGAAGGTGGATTTGAAGTAAGCACTAAGCACTGGGTTGGTGACTACTGATAGGCTTGAGGAGATTGACGCAAAATTAATGGGCAAGGGTGGGTGGCCCTAAGAATAACACGATGTGAGACTGCATAGATTATTGGCGATCGAGAGCTAGGTGAAAGAGACATTTAGCCTATCTTATAGAGGGCTGATATCTTACTCCACAACCCTTACCTAAGATGTAGTCCGCTGAGTGGCTATGCAGTTTGTCTTTATTGACTTCACCAGCAGTCCAATTCATCTATCCCTTCGTATCATAATCCCAGGTCTTTACATGAGTCACCTCCTCTGATGCCCCTTTTGTGAATACCATCTTCATCCACTCCCTCCGCTCCGGACTTTGACACTTAATACAGAGTACTCAACTAGACGGCCCTTACGACAATGGCAAGCAGGGGCACCATCCTTGTAACTGGATGAAACGGGTCGTTGGCAGTGCCCATGGTGGAGCATCTCCTTGACATACTCCCAAGTTACTCTAGTTTTGGCTGTACGTAGTCCCTCAGCCGATGATGTCAACACCAGGCGACTACTCGACTTAGTCGGGCCCTACCACTAGGGCAATCCTTATCGTTAGAACCACTCGCTTTTAGCAATTTCAATCACTGTAACCCATTTGCTCTCCCCGAGGACCGAATTAGCTATCATGCTACGGAGAGCTATCTCATGCTCTGCCAAAAACACGTCTAACTCATATCTCTCCCGTGATTGTCATATGCGACCATCGAACAACATCTATCCTAGGCCGGATATGTATTCCCGTACCCTAACTGCTAGAGTTGTCTTTGACAACCTTGCTTTTATTCGAACCGCGTCCCAACACGCCTTGGGATAGCTCTACGCTTGTCAGAAAAGGCTTGCAGTAACTACAGCTAGATAAAGCACTTGTTGATACCTTTCCCTTGTCTAAACTGCTACTAAACTACTTTTGCTATTTGGTCTTTGTACAGACCTTACTATACCAGATTAGGACTGGTTCGGGAGCGTGCCGGTCGGGCTATCAATTTTCCATTCGGCTCAGGTGCGAACCGCCTGAAAATCCGAACTGGTGTCGGGGTCGGGGCGGGATCTGCCGTTATGAAACCTGAGGCCGACTCGCTACCCGCTCTATCTCTACATAAGCTCGTGCAGACGCTGACAACTTTCTATGGGATTCGTCTCTGTTCCACACACACAAAATCGACCAACAGAGTGGAATCATCCACTTGAGGGTTATTAGATTTCCACCTCTCTACCAAAGCTGTACCTACTTTTTATTGAGATCATCATTATTGGTCCCTTTTAGGAACTACCGGGCCTACCTAGGCAAGTGCCATGATAGGGTTGTTTGGTCAATTGGTATCCTCGAAGAATGTGCAGTATCAGTCAGCGGAATTTCAATGTCCAGACGATCCGCCAAGATCCAGCGGGGCAGATTAGATTGCCTTGACCGGCGGTCATCATGTTTTATCTGATCATCTGATAGGCGAAAACTTGAGAAATGTGGACGAAGTGGAGACTCTGTATGAGATCTTCACTGCCGGACTCTTGGAGCCTCCTTACTAATGCACTTGTAATCATTCATGGACCATTTTATGTCCCCCTAATACCCAGAGATAAGATGTGTATGACTGCAGCACATTACAAATTCGTACGCTGAAAAAGGGGGTCCACAGTGGTGGCTGCGTATCATGATACTCACAGACCTACATTTGCCGACAGAATATACTACCTGTGTCCTAACAGCTAGCAAGAAAGGCCGTTTCTTGTCCTCCGAAGTCGGGGAGTTGGTTAGCCTGGACATACCGATGTAATGTATTGGCTGTGCACAAGGATGGAGCGCTATGTGAGCGATGAGTAGGGCCTTGTCGTTTGTCCTTCGATTTTGGTTTAAAATTAAAGGCATATGGTGCACTTTTAGTAGATTACTCTTTTTGCCGAAGTGCATTATAAATTCTGAGATAGCTCGAAAGATGGGAATGGTTATTAAATAGATATGATGTACAAATCATTTTCATACTCTATACTCTGTACATAATACAGTCTATAATCAAGGTGGTGCAGGTTTGATGCCGCACCTGCAACTCGGGCACTATGAAAGCAGACCACTATGGCAAGCTCACAAAAGCCAGGTAAATGTCATAGGTGGACTCCAACAGCATCCTCTCACGGTCACTATAGGTCCCATTAAACACAGGATCAGGGGTAATTGTACTCGCATCAATTGAGGAGGACAATATTTCCTGACTCACGTCATACACCTCCGTCGTAGCCGGGAGAGCTCCATCGAGGAGATACTCGCGGATCGTATTCGTCAGTCCTAAAGAACCAAGACTGATTGTGGTATGGCCGGGTCCCCGTCTAACCGCTAGCTGAGATGAAGTAGGAAGCCAGCGGTGTAGGCGTACCGCAGAGTTTATAGGAGTAATAGCGTCGTGCAGCCCATTAACAATCAAAACCGAAGTATTCTGCTTAGTGAGGATGGCGTTGGTCTCTCCGCTAATGAGCTTTGAGGCTCCTAGGTTCGGAAGTTTGGGGCGGGTATTTGGGAAATTGCGACAGAAGGATGAAGTGGACAGATCTGCATTCAACCATGGGGTCTGCTCAGCGAGAGAGATGTTGAGGACTAATTGCGCAAGTTCAGGTAATGTGGTATGGTTGGAGGGGGCGTTATCGGTGCACTGGATAGGCCATCCAGCGAAAGAGCCCGTATCAGGTGCACTGGCGTTCACTTCTGGACCAGCTGCACCTGTCAGGAGGCTGGCGACCGGGTCGGCATTTCCTTGCTCGAGCGCGCTCACTGCCGATACGACAGCGGGCCATGAGCTGGGTAGTTTCAAGTAGGAATACATAAAAAAGCTGAACATCCCAACTGTAATGGAGAATGATCCGTCCGATACCTCAATAGGGCTCTCATATAGTGATGCTTGTAAATTAGCAAGGCGCGTTGCGATGTCCGTAGTGCGATTTCCTGGAGCTTTACTCAAAGAACAGCCATCTTCGCCCGCCTGGGTACAGAATGTAGCCAGATCGTTGATAGAATCCCGCACATATAACTCATCATTGGGCAGCTGACTAGTATATGGTCGCGCATTCGCGGCAGGATCGAAAACACCGTCAAAGATAATCTTCCCGACTCTTTCCGGGAAAGTCTGGATGAATTCGGCACCGAGGATAGTTCCATATGAAAAGCCCCAGTAGTTCAGGGTTGCATTGTCTGTTCCTTCTAGGGCATCGATGATAGCTGCCATATCACGGACGACATAGGATGTACTGGATGTGTATAATGCAGGGGAATTGTGGTCAGCACATGCGCCGGCAAGCTCCGCAATGGCGTTGTCATAGTCCTTCAGCGCCGTGTAATATGAGGGCATGTAGCTTTGGTTGCGGAATTGGCTATACTCTATCTCAGCCGCTGCGGGAATCGCGGCAGATGCGTCAGCTTCCTCGCCTGCCGTGTCAAAACATTGAAGGAGAGGTCGTGCAGAGCCCGTCCCGCGTGGATCCCAAGACACTATGTCATAGAAGCCGCCTGTGATGTTGGACATCCCCTTTCCCGCGCCATTTAAGAGGAAATCGGTTCCGGCAGATCCAGGACCGCCTGGGTTCGTGAGAAGGGAGCCTTTGCGCTGGGATTTAGGGACGGTGGCATTGTAGCGAGCTAATGGAATGTACGCCAACTTCCCGTTTCCTGGATCAGTGTATTCGAGCGGCACTGTGAGGGTTGCGCAATCTAGGGATGGATTTGCTGTGCATGGTGACCACTGGATGCTCGCGAGAGCAGGGACGGCCTGCAAACAGCCGAGAAGGTAAAGCTTGGTAGACCACTGACCAGGCATGTCGAACATAACCAACCCTAAAGACTTGGAAAAAGCGGATGTTTTTTTGGGGGGGTGGTAATCGCCCTGATAATATATATAGTATTAGGTGAACGAGTCAGCTCCAACCAGCTGCTGAACATAAAAAAGTTTACCTTGGTTCAATAGCTCCACGCACCATTCATGATGACTCGACGATTCCAGAATATCTACTTCCTCATAGGTACAATCCAACAAGCTAGGCGGATCGCTAGTTCCACCCGATGCATAGATCCACGGCGATCTTTGGTTCTGTTCGGGCTAGCGTACTTCGCTACCAACACAAACCATGATTACTCGGAAGGTAGCGCGGCAACCGGAGATTCTTTCGCAGGGAACTATGGGCTAGTACACGGTATTTACAGCGCCAAGGAGTGGTTCTTGCCCGTCCTATGGCATCTTGGTGATGGCCGGTATCAAGAGATGGTAACGGACTGTATCGGATTTCAGCTCCACAAGAACTTAGGGTGGGTAACAAGACGAGAATTTATTCCGAGTTGCGCTCAGCCAGCACATCACAGTTTAAAGATTTGAAATGGATTTTTTCACCTACTTTTGTTTATCTATAATGTACAAAGCCTCCGATGGTATGATTATCTTTGGGCCTAGCTTATATATTATGCTAGTAGTGCAAGTATGGCTAAGTCCCCCAAAATATATAGTTGTACGTACATATTCCCCCCGTTGCAGGGGAATATAAGAGGTTCGACAAATTTGAACTAAGCACCATGATTGTATACTCAGTACTCTTCTTTAAAGTAGAATAGTTTCTCGCTCAATTTGAATCCGAGTCACTCGGCTAAATATCCACTATGATGTCTAGGCGGACAGTACAGTCTGGAGTTGGGGTAAACTGGCCATCGGGTCGCGTTCGGGTTCAAAATGTAGGACCCGCCCCCGACCCGAAGAACAAGCGTACGAGGCAAATAGACATGAGATTAAAGACAGTGTTACAGCGTTGAGTACTGTGTGACAGTGAGTGCATGTCATTATGTACAACTAAATTGCCATCTTGGAAAGAAATCTTCAGGAATAGAACTAGTTCTGAGCTGTGTTGGTTCGACTTATCTTAGTTAGCAGGGGCAAAACGATATGTTAGGGTATTTCTGAATCCCTGTCACAAACACCTCGATTGTCAGTTACTTATGCAAATCCTGGTAATAAAATCACTTGCTTAGAAAGCCTGGACGCCTGGCAGTTTGCATAACCTGATCTGCCTACATGCCTGTGCGTTAAGTTAGATTACTTCGAAATTAGGTTAGAAACAACATCACACATAGCAAGAGCATTCTCGCCAACCATGACATTTCAAGTTAATGCCCAGAAGTATGAGAGGAGGAACATACATATCGCAATATTGACCTTTCCCCTAGTCTAGAGTTTCTTGCTACAAGGAATGTGACCCTGTATCCTCTATCGTAGTTGGGCATATTATAACTAGAGTAAGACGCGGTTTACCTCCTAAACATTATGTACTAATAGAACCGCCGCTATCTTGCGTGTGCCTCGAAGGTGAATTCGACTTTATCTTACTCGATTGAGCAGTATCGCAATCCTAGCGCGCGGAACCTAATGAACTTCACCATAATACTAGCACATTTTTATCGTGTGTCCTCGTTGGCTACTATATCTGGCTCCCACTGAAAGCATATTGCAGTATTATATTCACTTTTTCTCGATCATTTAACCCTGAGAGGTTGAGTCCAGGGTTGTATCTTGTGGAAATGTTTCGAGCATTGAGTCTGGCACTCGCGTGGTGGGAGGCTCTAAATTTGTTTGGCTCAGGCCATTAGGTTCCCTCTTACACAAGCTCTCGCAGTGCATACATAACTGCCCAAGGTCCTGTAGCCTGTCAACTGCATTTCGTAAAGAATCGAATCCTCACCTAATTATCTCCGTAGCTGTATGAGAACGCGCTTCAGCCCCGGCCGATCCGTACGATGCCCTCGCTCTGACATTCCCTGTCGTTATGGATGACATATATACCAATGATAAATATCGGTATATCTTGAGCGTATTACTGGGGACTAGACCCGCACTCGCCGGTGTGGTCCTGGCCACGGTAAAGCTTAAAGAAACAAAATGTATCGAATACGTTGCAAGAGTTCAACCGGCCAATAAATTCTGGAGGTGGCTCCGGAGGTGCCTTTCCACATATATAAATATTTTGGCCCTGTTGTACATGGATCCTGGCATACAATCTTTACCAAGGAGTCCATAGGAAGGGTAGAAAGTACATGCGCATCAAATAAAGTAAAAGAAAATTGAAATAAAATAAAAAGAAAAAAAAATTGGAAAAAGAGATAAGGACATTTATTAGGTTGTATACATCTTATTAGATCAATGCAACTTATCTACAAACTTCATGACCTTGTTTCCAGTACTGCTCTTCTCAAAGCCCGACAAGTCATCGAGGAATGTTATCTGGAAAAGATGCTCGTTCTCCGCTAGAATGAAAAAGAATTTCTCGAGCTTCTCCACAAACTCCTCCTTGGTCATGATGTGTTCGTTATCCGCCTGACGAAGCAGACGAATCTCCAGCTTCGTCTGGGGAGATGATTCAAGAGATGCTAGAATCACCTGCCATTGAAGGATTCCGGTCTTATCGCCTTGCATAAAGCTGACAATATTTTCAAATTCAAAATACATGCCAAACCACTTGAAGCTAAACCGACGGTCGCGACCACGAAGACGGAGGACTCGAAGATGCTTCAGCTCGGATTCAGGAACGACCGCACGGGCTGTCTCTGGCAGCGGTTGGATTGATCCAACATCACCTGTGATATAGCGCACAAGAGGATTCCGACGACGTACGAGAGAGGTCTGAACGATGATACCCTCCTCGCCATCCGGCACGGATTTTATACCAGCGGAGGACTCCGCCTCAGAGGCGGAATGAGGAAGGATCTCAATAACAACCTGTCGGGTGTCAAAGATAAAGTCCATGGTGCCGGGTGGACGCTCTGAGGAAGTGAGGTCGGGGTCACTTAAAGCGCATGGGCCTGCTTCTGCACTTCCCCAGATAGAGCATATCTTCACCGGACCCAATGTGGCCGTGATGTGGCTCCGTTGAGTCTCGGTGAGTGGCTCAGACGTATACAGAACCTTGGTTAGCTTGATCTTTGCTCTCTCCTCCGCCGGAAGCGTAGAGATATGATGGACAATTTGGATGACCTGGCTGCCGTCACCAGTAATGACATTAACGTGGTAGTGGGCTAGAGCATGCACAACCTCGGCAGGTGTCATATAGTTTCCAGCGCTTAGAACGGTTGCTCCCGCATTTTCTAGAATCTCACTCAGAAGGTCGAGAGACCTGCACACGGATCAGAGAACATTCTTTAAACACGCCATATTATCAGATTTTCCAGCGAGTAATCAACATACCGGTAGAAGTGTCCGGAGACGTGGGTCGTCAGGATCCAATCATGAGGCTCAACCACTCCACAAGTGTTTAGGAATTCACCAAAAACAGCGCGCTGGTTGCGATTTTCTTTGGTGTCAGTCACAAACATCAGTGGTAGTCCACCAGAGCCTCCGCCCGTAATGCTAACGTAGGAGCTACGTCTGTACTCATTTTGGGGGCTTGTGTCGTCCGTAAGCCGTGCAATGGCTTTGTAACTAGATGGCTACGTTCAGTTGTAGGGAGTGCAGAATGTGGTCTTTAAGACTTACAGATCTTTCTTGCTAACCAAGGGTAGTGAACTGAGATCAATATCCGTCGACTGTTTGCCAGCCAATTCTACGGCTGACTTGATTGTTTCTGGGGTGGGAGGGTATTTGACGGCAGGGTTATAGAAGGGGTGGATTTCGGCGACGGCGAGAACCTCCCTGAGGGAAAATGTGGTTGGAGCCATCATTCCACAGACTCAGAATAAGCAACTCTACTAAAATCCTGAATGTAAATGACGTGTCTAGAGCGGAGACAGGGAGGATGACACATTGTGGTTAGGGCGCATCCCACATTCTTATACACCAGGAACTTTAACAGCTGTTTTCAGGTGGCGTACATTGCGGAGTACATCAGTCAGCTCACAATTGGCCTAAAGATTCTGGTGACTCGACAAATGAACTAAAGACATGGGGCATAAATCAGAATAAGCTGAGAGTAAACGACGTATGAACACCAAGACATTAGCGTATGCGGCACACCGGGCCCGGCCCGCTCGTATTGGAGAATCTGCAGCATGCCTCTCTTCAGCTGGTATGCATGTCTCGAACTACTAGTTCCGTATGCGCTAATTAATTTGTGACTGTAATTGTATTGTAATGAAATTATTTACAAGCAGATCAAACACTTAAGCAGCTAAACTGTCATGGTTTAATGCAAATCTGCGATGGGCGCCCTGAAGGATAAACTTTTCACAATCCAACTTAGGGTTCCCACCGGACTCTGGGTTCCCTGTCCAACGATTCCACTAAAGAACCACGTCGCAGTCTCACTCCTCCAGCTGAATGACCTGTGGCCACGATGGCGTTATCCGAGTCCGTGCTGAGCGCTAACGCATAGCACTAATCCCGGCTGCATGATGCATAATGAAGTGAACGGAACTAACTAGTTAAGGGGCAAGAATTACCTAATGAAAACCCGCCATCGACTCGATCAGTGGAGGAAATCTCCTGCAGATCAAAAGTCGATCAAGATCGGGCCAGGATACCAGCCTCGGTATGCAACTGCTACCTTGCTCTCTAACCGTAAAGATACCTGCCATGTTCCCTTCAGGTCTTTCTAACGGAATTTCCAAAAGCAATGAGGGATTTCAGCTAGACTATACACGCCGCATACTGGGGGTCTGGCGTGCCCCGTGCTCCGTATATCTATATAATATAAAAGCCAACCTTTGTAGTATATAAAATTAGTAGAAGGAATTCATATTGACTGTCGTTTTATTGATTGTTTTCATCCTTGTTTCTATTCCGAAGATGACGACGGACATGGCTTCCGATGCTCTAATAGATAGCATCATCACCGAGAGGATCCGAAAATTAAATCAAAATTCCGTTGATATTCAACATGACTTGCCCTTTTTGGTCGCAGACACAAGACGAATATACCAGCAACATGAGCGTTGGCTCCGATGCCTTCCTAATATTTCACCCTTCTACGGTGAGTTGTGGACACCATCTTCATCAACATTGGGTCAAACAATTGACAAGAATTCTGAATAGCTGTAAAATGCAACGCAGACGTTCGGCTACTACGTTATCTCGCACGTCTAGGCGTCGGTTTCGATTGCGCCTCATGGGGAGAGATGAAGCTCGTGCTGGACTTGGGAGTAGACCCCTCCAGGATTATCTTCGCTCATCCGTGCAAAGCGGTATCTGCCTTACAGATGGCTTCCAGGAGAGGGGTTCCACGGACGACATTCGACAACGTCGACGAACTCGAGAAAATAAAGGAGAATGTTCCCCATCTACGCCTACTTCTTCGTATATACGCTGAGGATGATACCGCTCTTGTAACTCTCGGGAACAAGTTTGGAGCTCCGTTAGATACCACCAAGGCATTGCTTCTGAAAGCGAAGGACCTTGGTTTGATAGTGGAAGGGGTCAGTTTTCATGTTGGTATGTACGCGTTTTTTTCTGAATTTCCCCTCCTTGCCCTAGCTCCACGATCTATTCTATCGTAGCTAACATATACAGGATCCGGAGCATCAAATGCTGATACCTTTGTCACTGCCATACAAAATGCAAAACGAGTTTTCCAACAAGGAAAGCAGCTTGGGTTCAATATGCATGTCTTAGATGTCGGAGGCGGGTTCCAAGACACCAACTTCGAACTAATGGCACTCACTCTCCAGCGGGCTATTGAAAAAGAATTTCCCCCTTCCACTCAGGTGATGGCAGAGCCTGGTCGATTCTATGCGCGCAGCTTCTACACTGCGGCATGCAAGGTCATCGCCCGACGCAAACAAATCGGGCAAGATAGGTTAACCCAAAGTGACATGCTGTACCTGAATGATGGGATATATGGGTGTTTCATGAATGCCGTGGCCGAGAATGAGATATACCGTCCTATCCTAGTCAGAAAGGAGACTGTGAGCAATATGGAAAGAGAGGCAGGAGAGCATCGGTATTCTGTGTGGGGTCCGACGTGTGATGGGCTGGACTGTATCGCCAAAGAAGCTACTATGGGGTGTGAAGTAAAGGTTGGGGATTGGGTCAAGTTTGAGAACATGGGAGGTAAGTCTGCCGTTCATCTAAGGGTTTATGTCACTTGGCAATTAACACGGCCGCAACACAGCATATACGGTAGCGACTTCTACACAATTCAATGGATTCCCGAACCGCTACGACATCATATATGTCGATGACCATATCACACCGAGATGCGATAGGGAGGTTATGGCTAGTACAACGCGCATCAGGTCTGAAGCTGTCCTATAAATATTATGAATCTATCCCTCATAGAAAACCAATTGCCGTGCTATCCATGATTCCTATTTGAGCTGTCATAATCGACTGCCAGGGCGATGGTATCGTATTTTGCTCTTCCTAGATTCTCCCTCGCCTTCTCGCTTAAATTGTGGGACTCATTGTTCGTAGCGTCCGTATCACTTCCCGAGTTTAGCGCCGTCAATCACAGGTTCGAGAATTGGGAGAACTTTCCATTAGACAAATCGGTGGGGACACACTAACAGACACGGGATAAATCTAAAAACCTACCAAGACGAGTGAAGTTCATATCCTATTATCCGTAAGAGGATGAGCACACATAATGTTTCGTGGTAATTGCTCTACGTCGTGCCCCGCTTCAAAAACCAATGGTCCAAGGTATCGGCCAAATGTGGTAATGTGAATCCACTCGGAAAAACCTTACTTATACGAGTCACAGGTTAAATGCCTCGCACTATGTAGTGGGTCTTGCACCATCCGGGTATCACAAGAGTGTGGAGGTGGTGATTTTGTTCTGAGACATTTCGTAGCTTCGATCTGCAAATTAGGGCTGTTGATAATTTTTCATGGCTCAGCTGAGAGGGGCAGCGATTTTAGGCAAATGTTCTCCCACTTGCATCCCCGCGGCCTAGATTCTCTTTTTTTTTTTATTTTAGTTTGTTTCTGGGTTTTCTTTCTTTCTCTCTTTTCTCCCCCTTTTTTTTTTTTTTTCCCCTCTCTTTCAAAACAGATTACCGACAGGCATCGGGGCTGACTGTAACTCCGCACTTGTAATTAGTTGTGCCTTCAATGGTACATCCAGCTATGCAAGTAGGTGGCAATGAAGCTTAGTGCATATTTTGGCAATAATAAAACATATTAATCTTGTAACGAACAAAGGACGAAGGTAAAAAGGACGTATGGGCTGAATTTCGCCCCAGCGGCAACTGGCACCCCTGTCTACCGATCCTCTGTTCTTAAATACGATGGCGCCGAAATAATGACTTTGTCTACTACTATGTTGTATTACATTTTCTCTTATCTTAAACCACTACATGATTATACCTCATTTTCCACATAATGAAGATTCCAACTCCCCAGCAGCTCCAACAACTCCACGTCTCTCTTGGCGGGGGGAATTATGAGCCCGTAGCAACTTATGACTCGACGAAGGCCACATATCTCCAAGATCAGGAGGCTCTGCAAGAAAGCCTCTTGCGATTATGTCCCGCCAACGGGTGGCATAAAAGTTCTAGAGCAGCCTGCTCTCCTCGGCCGGTTCTCGTCAGTTCGGAGCATCAGCGGCGATGGAGGGAGCTTCATGAAGCTCTAGTCCTAGCTATCACCGACATTGTCGAAAGATGGCTGACAGACTCCGAGGCTAGGTTCCCGGAACGGATGCCTTTGGAGCCAGAGGAGGAAGATCTACTGCGCGTATGATATCTAGAATACCCAGCATTGCGGTGCAACTGGCCTAATATCAAATTGATTTAGTGGATTGACCAGCAAGTGCCTCACAACCTTCCCCAGTACCGAGACTGTCGGGGCTCATGGAGGCCGGACTTCTTGGTGGAAGAGGACACCAGTGAGGAGAGCTCCGGGCCTGTCGAGAACTTTGCCATCAGTGAGATTAATGCCCGGTTCTCCTTTAATGGCTTTATGTTCGCCACGTGCGGACAACAGGCATTACACGACATGGGTATTTGCGACCATGGCAATGGCCTGGTAGGCGCCACTGATCCGGCGAAGGTAAGCTAACAATACAAGACTTCTAGCTTTTTCTGTGGCTGTCTTCACAGTGTTCGTGTGCTGTAAACTGACAGAGACCAGATCCTCAATGGCCTCTTAAGCCTCTTCCAGCCTAATCTTCCATTGCACCTTCTGAAGGGTGATGAAGCTGGGATTGACATCCACATGGTAGTAGACTTCCTCACCCGTTACTTGGGAATAACTCCCCGATTTGTTCTGCCTGCAGATCTGAGGTTGCTACCGGACCCGCAGGCAAAGGGAGGCTACAAGCTCTGCTGTGTGGTTCAAAACCTGGATAGCTCCCCGGATTCTTCCTCAGTAATCCACCATAATGGAGAGGCCCTAGAGGAAATTCATCAGGTCGGTCTGGAACTTCACCAACGGGAGCTCCGTGCCTTAGAGCCGGAAATGCTCCGGCAAATCAGTCTTCGGTGCTTTAACGACTTGCGTACCATCCTGCTCGTTCATGATAAGAGAATGCTTGGGATCGTCAAACAGGAACTTGACCGTTTAGTGGCAAGAAACGTTCTCACATTGTCCCAGGCCAAAGTCCTCGATAAGGGCATCCCGGAAACAATCCTCCCGGGGTCGCTGGAGCTTGACCAGGCAATCGCATACTGCAAGGAAATACCAGACTTAAAGAATGAGTATATTCTCAAGCCCATTCGGAGCGGAAAGGGTGACGGGATCGTGTTCGGCGAGGATTTGGACACAAAGGAGTGGATTTCAAGATTGGAGGGCCTGCGGTGCGCTGCATTGATTCCGGGTGGAACCTGTATTGTCCAACGCAAGGTCAAGCAGATTCTGTACGACGTGGTCTTGAGACCGACCGGCGAAAAAACCAGATATTCCCTTGTTGGAACTTACCACTCGATCAATGGTGAGTTCCTGGGAGTTGGGGTTTGGCGCAGCGGCCCGGATCGTATCTGCGCGATCAGCCATGGAGGCGCATGGACGATTTCTGTTATGCGTGATGAATAGAACTTGTTTGAACCTTACGAAGCATTGATTTTTTATTTCTTTTTATGAGCTATGTTTCTCCAATTCTATCTATCTTCTACTCTGTCTCCTTGGGATGGGGATGATTTGAATAGTTGTAAAGTATCTGTATAGAAGTGTGCCTCACATTTCCGAAAATATAACTTTAGACTTCCTTCACGTAGTCGAAACGTTCTGACCACTCGTAATGGACACGTGCGAGCTTTAGCTGAATGATCGTATTAATATGACGGCTCGAGCCATATACCAGAAGCTTTCCGGACTGTAAGCTCGATGCATCGCAAGAGCATGTCTTCGAGAGAAACGCGTAACGCATGACCGTAATTTTCCATAAGTGATATCTACGCAAGGGCCGTGTTCCGTTGTCACTTCAGCTTAATTCATGCTGAATGTATTGTTGAACGCAGGTATCTACTGTACCCTGCAACATGTCCAGGGTCTACATTAGCAGCAGGGCTAGTGTCGCTAGGGACTCAGCTGCAAGCACATGTCTCAAATCCCTGACTAAGTGGCAACCACTAGCGTGAAAAGGTTGATGTAGCTTTTTCAGCTCTTGGGTCCTGTGGATCCACGGGTATGTGGTGTCATATCCCATGCATGAAGCATACGATACAGGAGACCAATTCCGTAATGCGACCATGCCGTACTCTAGAAAAGCATTTGCTATCCACAGGAAGGAGCGGCGTACGAGAGCTTTCTTGGGCATAGTGTTTGGCGCCCATTTCAGCTACTTCCCGAGCATTTGCCCCGCTGGCCCTCAGCTGAACTAGCTTTTGGCTTGACCTTTAGTATATAGTGACCATCTCACTGCCGTACTTCAATTATTCGTATCTCATTTTTTTTTTTATCAGATCAGATAAGCTGAGCAAATCGACTGGCATCCTAGTCATCTTTACAAACACCCTATATTCCTATTTATTGTCTAATACCTTCAATTTGCTTGATTCGAGCCTCCGCGTCTCAAGACGAAGAGAGCTTCACAAAAGGAAAAATGCAACAATTTGTACGCAATATCCAACCTACCAGGATGGTGGACATAACTACACGTGAGTTCCTCACCTCCAAAGATCCTGGTTGCGATGAAAACACTAATGTAGAGAAGAGGCATCCCGTGCACTACCGCACTTAATAGCCAGTGACCTCAGTTGCGCAACGCGACCAAGCCATGTTGCAGAAGTTTCGAACACCCTCCGAAAAAGCGGCATCCTCAAAGTCAGTCTACAGTTCAAAGACGACGCTAGCAAATATCTCCAAAATCTCATTCTCGGGCTCCACAAAAACCACGGACACGGATTGCCCACTACACATAGTGCATCGCGCGGTTGGTTCTGGGACGTCCGACCAAATAGCACGACATTCCAAACCCCATCTCATCAAGCGCGGTCCGAGACCATGCAGGAATTTCCTTGGCATACGGACTGTAGCTACGAGGAGGCTCCAGCCAAATACTTTGCGTTACAGGTTTTACGGGAAGATCGATGTGGCGGCGGTACGCTCTCTGTAATGAATGTGGGAAAGCTAAGCTCCATGCTCTCTCCGTCTACATGTGCTGCACTGCTAAGACCCGAATTCCGCATTGATGTTCCTCCCGAGTTCGTGAAAAGCGACGCTAGTCGACACATTATTGGGAGCCTAATGGCTGCTGACTCGAGTGGTGCGCCAAGTATGCTGCGTTTCCGAGAGGACATCCTCACTCCTCTGAGTGTGGAGGCTGCGGCCGCGCTAACGGAGCTAAAGGATTGTTTGTTGGGATTGGAGGTGCAGGCGGAGACGCTCCATCTTACGCCAGACTGTTTACCTCGGGGTTCTATCGTGCTGATGGATAACCACCGGTGGCTTCACGCGCGAAATGAAGTTATGGACCCCGAGCGGCACTTGCGCAGGGTGCGCTGGCATGCGAGCCCATTTCCTGCCGTGACTATGTAGCCTTTTTCGTCGATTTTGTGGGTCAGAGCTGGATGTTCCCTGGTGGAGCCATGGCACTAGAGCTCGTAATGGTCAGGGAGTTTTATGTATGGAAAAGTTATTACTATGGAGTACAGTTATTAGTCAACAAGCGTCATTTGAGTTGAACTACGAATTCTACTTCTTCATTGTCGTAGGTGTTCGGAAAAGTAAACGACTCTAGAATCGTTACTTTTGCCAATATATATATCGCCAACCGCCCCACATAACCGAAGCGATGCATTGGACATTGCCTCGAATTGACGATTTTCTGCAGCTCTCCTCTCCTTGGCCTTCTCGTTAATTCCCCCCTTTTTCTGATATAGTGCGCTATTTGTATTTATAAGCCGATAATATACGGAGCGCTATAGCCGCTGAGCACTAACCTGCGTATATACATAATAGGTTATACAAATGAAGGATCAAGTCATTATACCCCAAAGTGGCCATTGTAAAGTGGATTTCGGGTAGGCCTCTTTTTTATACTGTGTAGGACGATGAGTCCAGAAAAAAAAAAAAAAAACCTAATAATGTGGAATGTAGCTCCGGCTACAACAATATTCATCGGTATTTGCTCTGGTTTACAATGTCGCCGGCTTGTTACGGGAAACTAAGTTGATTAACTTTACGTACTAAGGTGTTTTAACTTGGCTTCTTAAGATCAAGATCGTCGGTTCAGTAACTGACCGCTAACTCAAGAATGTTGAATCGATCGTCGAGCTGGCTCAGAGCTTGCCCTATCATCTATGTTCGAATCACGATGCCCCCCCACACATGAAGTGGCTACCTGGCGAATTTGCCAAGAAGCGTCAGCTCAGCTGTCAGCAAATTTTTCCTTCGTGCATGACAGTGGCAAGGTTATTTGACAATGCAACCTACGTCGGAGATTGCCGGCAAACGATCCTCCTAGTGATGCACAGTATCCATTCAATTGGAGATGAACACTGCAGCAGCAAGCACTATCGATAAAGGGAGCTCCACTTTTCTACAGCTACGGCTGGAAGCTCCATTTTAGAAAAGTGTATTACCGAGAGTTTCCGCTTTGTGGGAAAGGTTTGCAGATCAATTCCCCCAAAATTTAGACCCACACTCGAAAGCTCGTCGCCTTTTCGAGACGCTTTTTCAAGATCTGTGCGCATTTTGCACCAATGGCGACACTATATGCAAGCACTCGGCTGCAGCGTTCGGCCCGTCTTGCTCCAGGTGATGGAGAAGCAACCTTACGTCTGACCTGGGCGGGAACTATCGTTACTACGGAAACACCTACGTGTAAGGTGAGCACACGATTCCGAAGTGAGTCGAGCTTTTTGCGTGCCCGTGGTATTCAACGTCGGTCTGGTGATCACTAATGATTCTCTGCAGTGGCTCAGCTGTACTGTCCTACTGAAAAAAGACACCGGGTAAATATAACCTGACTATTTTAGCTATTGTAGCTTTTGGAGAAGTATAAGCTCCGAAGTAAGTTATTTCAAGTATGCTGAATTATCTAGAAAACATATATTTTTAAGCCAGTACCCTGTAAGGAATTATCTAATTCTAGACTCGGGTGGTATTTCCGAAACTTGTCTTTTTATCAGATTGGATGATTGCCGACAACTCGGCAGGCTCTTACTTTAACTAAATATGAAGCAAAAGGTAATTGAAAGAAAATTCGTACACAGAAATTAACGTCCGCGGATATTATCATATTCCACGGTTCGCAAACTACTTCATAAGGCAAAGGACCATGAAGCCAGAATCCACAGCCAACGCCAATCCAGGTCCTTGATTATGTTCAATAGTCCGCATTGGGTTGTGGCCTTGTGGATTTATGCGTACAATAATTTCACTAGAACTAAGATCTCCATATCCCCTAGCCTAGAACTCATCATTACATTGATCCATCTGAATAAGATTGGGGCCCATCAGACGCAGCTAGACCACGGTTCACCAGTAAGAGATTTCTAATTAAATCAGATCATCCGGCAGAGAAAGAGGAAAAAGGCAAAAGAATGCCTGAGACCCACAGACTTTTGCCGACGAACACAGTCTGATACACTACATCACGCACTAAGCCAAGCCACATGACATGACGTTTGTTTTCTGGAAGATAATGTTGACCTATATATGCATGCCCTTGTTCGCTTCCCTCAGCCCTAGCATAGATTAGTCTCCTTTAGGATAAGGTTTTCGCCAACGGACTACGACTACCTGACAAAATGCCTCTTTTGAAGAGTGATGCTACATCTAGACGTGATAAGTTTCCGAACGATCCAATATTTACTCGACTTTGCAGACGTTACGCAGAGAGGCCAGGAGTGCTGTTTCACGATGAACATGGCATTGATGCCAGCTATAGTGACCTGATCAGCGATATTATACACATGCGTCAGGTTCTGCGAGCGCAGCTCCCTAGCACTGTTTTTGACGAGAATGGTCTTCTACAACCGGACGCCCCTCCCATTGCATTTCTCGCATTCAATGGATACTATTTTATTGTGAGCTTTCTGGCTATTGCGGCCCTGGGAGGCATCTGTGTGCCACTGTGTAAGTTAAACACTCTGTTCAAAGTCAGTGTTGGAACTCTAACGACGACTGGTTATAGCAACGGGCCTTATTCCAGAAGAGGCCCTCTACCTTCTGAATAAGATAAATGCAAACTTTATCCTTATGGATGAAGGGTGTTCTGAGATAGCACTGGCAGTTAAAGATCATGCCTGGAATTTGGCTAATCAACAGTTAACCATACATCCGGTAACAAGAGCGGAGCCAGGTCCCTGCCCCAAGTTGGAAATTGATGAACAATTGACCTTTCCCCCAAATACTGGATGCCTTGTTCTGTTTACATCGGGAACAACTGCTTTGCCAAAAGGAGTTCTTCTCCCTCGCGAATTATTCCATTCCTTAGAGCTTCCACTGGACCTAGACGGTCTCTATCTATCTACCAGCGCTGCACACTGGGTAGGAGGATCAACAGGCCTCATAGACAGTGTTCTTTCGGGGCAGAGATTACATATTGTGAAGGGAGAGTGCGGAGCTGCAAAGTGCTGGGAACTTTTGAAGGCGGGAACAATCACAGAGATGTCTGTGCCCCCGACTACTCTAAGAGAGATGAGGGATTACTATAATGAAAATATCGCTAGTCTTGCTCCAGAAGACCGTGATAAATATATGAACGGAGCTCAAAAGCTAGAAGTTATATTTTCAAGCGGCTCGCCACTTAATCCTTCCACACGGCAATTTTTCCTAGATCTGATCAATATACCAATTATGAATGGATATGGAATAACTGAAATGGGTGGAGGTATTATGATTACGCCAGCTGATTCAGAGTTCACGGAAGTAGGTATAAAACCTTAGCTTTCTCTAGTTTCCTTACTAACTGTCAATCAGGGCTATATTGGCAGGCCTATAGCAGGGAAAACAGTGAAACTCTCCAACGGCGATCACGGCGAAATTCTAGTCAAACATCCCAAAATGTTTATAAAGTCAGGATATTCGATTTCTTTCTATTTCTGCGAAAATATTTACTTACACTGAATATAGATATATAAATGACGAAGCAGCCACACGTGCGGCATTTGACAAAGATGGGTTTTATAAAACTGGCGACTACGCCCGTCGTATTGGAAATGATTACTTTTTCGATGGCAGGGCTTCCCATGACTGTATGTATCTCTGCAATCCATATTTCTTGAAGATAATCTAATAATGTCTATCAAGGGGTTCGGTTTCATGAATACACAATATCTGTTCTAGAGCTTGAGAATCGCTTGATGGATCTTCCATATATTTCGGAAGCCTATGTTCTTATAGTTCCGGATGTTGAGGCTGGTGGATTGGTAGCAGCGCTTGTTCGACCTTGCAAGTATAGCCTGGACAGAAAAGAGTGCAGCGACATTACTCTTCGACGAATACGCAAGGACCTTGCTGCCGCTAACCTAGTCGCATACAAATTACCTCCCCTTTTGCGGGTTCTCCGAGACGAGGAACAAGTCCCCCAAACAACCTCCGGTAAAATTTTGAAAAAAGAGGCTCTCCGGAAGTACTTTAATATATCGGGATTCATGCCCAAGGACTATGCTGTTGAGGGTGTGGAGTACTGCGGAAATAAAATCGAGGAGTCTGCTTCATCTCGGGTATATGATTGGGGGTTTATATAAGGGTACTAGTAGGGTTATGTGGAGATCAGAACTGGATTCTGTTGGCATGTATTCATGTCCTAATTTTGGTTTGGGGGGGGGGTTGGATTTGCCTCTGCGTGAACTGGTGGGAACTTACCCGATGCGCTCGCAAAGCTTTGGATGGTCTGTATCAATGAGGCGAGAGACAGGTTGTAGGTTTTCTCAACGACGAATCCGTTCAGCGGTTGTCCCTGGATGGACACTACTCAATCTGTCCCATAGCCATTCTCCAATCCATTCACCTGAGCACTTGTCTATTGTCGTATCCCCTGAAAATTGAGCTCCGAAATATGTACTGAGCTACCATGTGGACGTACAACGTAATGAGGGAAGTGAAGATTGCAACCCATATGGCGACACCGGATACTTCACACACATCGTAGACATCTTGACAGGGATAAAGAGGGAGAACAGGGGTTCGAGAGATCCGCCTTCAAACCAGCCTCCGGGGTCTTATCTGGAGAGAAACCCAATACGCCCGCCTGTTCGTCTGGGTGGTGTTGTAACTCTGAAGAGCCCTCTAATATTTTGCCTGGAGCAAAGCTCGTTAGGCCTCGGCCTGGTGCCTGCTCAACAGGCTGTTGTGGTAAATCAGTAATATCTTCATGCACAAGCACCGAAGGAACGTCTAGCGACTTCATCGAGGTCATCTCGCGCACTGCTACAACTCAGCTCGAAAAAGGGAATGAGGGGCAAGGAGCATGTCGCTTTGAGTATATCTGGAATGACCTGTACCGGGTGTGGAACAAAACTTAAGCGAACCTTGGGTATACTACAGCCAGTCAAGAACCTGAAAGTCAGCTTGGTGTTCTCCCGAGTAGAGTTCGGTCTCGACGTGGGTGTTCAGTCACTGGATGAAGTGTTGAGCTATTTGGAAAGGACTACCGAGTTCATGTACAAGAGAGCCAGAGATCGAGGTTCTCGCGTCGACGTTATCGTCCCCAATTCTTCTGAGTTTATGAAGCAAGACTGACTCCGTCGCGTGACCGAGATGAGTCTCGTTGACGATGGAACCATCGGTGTCTCTATTGATCAGGAGCTAATAGGAGCACGAGATCTGGTCGAATATGGCCGGGCGAGTCCTGTCGGCCTGGCTGCTCCTAGGCCTGATCCGACACTGCAGGCTGGAGTCAAGCACGTTTGACATATGGGATATATGACTATTCTGTCCGTTATACTAACAGCGCCCGTCCTGGTCTTGGCTTGGGCTCCGTGATCTGGATCGCCGTCAGCATTGCAGTGTGAAAACAATCTGGATCACGAGCAACCACCGAGGCCATCACATATGCTATCACAGTCCTAATTGTCTCTTGTCCTTGCGCGATTGGTCTGGCAGTACCTACGGTCATCGTTATTGACAGTGGCATCGCTGCCGAGCGAGGCGTCATCTTCAAGGCTGCGGACAGCATAGAGCTCGCTTGCAAAACTTCCCATGTGGTATTCGACAAGACCGCAACTCGCACGCAAGGCAAAGTCACCGTTGCGGTTGAATATATAGATAACACGAGCAATTCCATGTCGCTAGTTCTCGGTCTCATAGGAAGTAACAAGCATCCCATCTCCACCGCCGTTACTGCACATTTGAAAGCCAAGGACATGACAGCGTCTACTGCCATTGACACAAAGCTGCTGACCGGGAAAGGCGTAGAAGGGTCTACACCAGACCTCATCCTCCGCGCAGGAAATCCACGATGGCTCAACCAATCATCTAATCTACAGGTTCAATCGACCCTTGAACGAGGCTATACACCATTCTGTGTCACAATCAACGACACCCTCGCTGCCGTCTTTGGTTTGGAAGACTCAATCCGTCTCGACGCTCTCGAAACCATCACAAAGCTCCAGGAACCAGACATATCTGTCCACTTCCTCTCAGGTGACGACGGCGGCGCCGTCCGCTCCATTGCAAGACAACTCGGTATAGCAGCTGAAAACATCCGGTCCCGCTGCATCCCAGCCGACAAACAAGCCTACATCTAAGCCCTCCTCACGCCGCTCGATCAATCCCCCAGCAGGAAGAGCCCAGCAACAATCTTCATCGGCGATGGCACAAACGACGCCAGCGCCCTCGCCACCTCCATAATTGGCGTATACATAAACTAAGAAACCGGCACCGACGTCGCCAAATCTGCCGCAGATGTCGTGCTCATGCGGCCCAGCCTACTCAGCATCCCGACGATGATCAGCATCGCGAGGAAGCGGTGCGGCAGATCAAATTCAATTTCAGCTGGAGCTTTGTGTATAATCTGTTTGCCGTCTTGCTTGGTGTGGGGACATTTGTGGATGCCGGAATTCCGCCAGAGTTTGCGGGCTTGGGAGAGTTGGTTCGTGTCTTGCCTGTTGTTTTTCCGGCTGTGCTCTTAAGATGGGCTAGGGCTTAGGCGTGTACAAGGATAAATACAGTAGGGGTGAGGATTCTTTATCGTGAGGAGTTGTTGAATGGTGGGTCGGACAAGACCGTTGATTCACCAGCATTGTCCTGCAACAGAACAGAAACTGCAAATGGCGCCAAGCGAACATTCAGTGGGCTAACCCTATCTATTGATAAGCGCCCCTACATATCGTACATCTGTGAAGAAGATCAATCATTGTTTCCGATCGTCAGATATTAGGTCCAAGATTTCATTACTATCTTACTTGGACTACATGGTGCTCCAACAACATATTTAACGGAGATTGGACTTAGGGCTCAATAGGGTATTGTTTGAAGCTAAATATAACTATTTCCAAATACTGCATCTAGTCTTAGGAGAAGTTAGGACTAACAAATGATCTTTACAAGGATACAGTCACATTCTGGCAGTGAGCTCTCTCGAACCAAGAACTAGGTATAGTTATTAATTACAACTTTAGTCAGTGATTTGTTGCTGGCGACGATCACTGAGCATCAATGACACGAAAAGACTTTATGATATGTAGATATGGATAGCACCAGGCACGATATATCTCGTCGAGGATCCAGTGCTTGCAAAGAGCCCTCAGGGTATAAAGTAGGGGTTAGTAGTTCATGACCCATAGGTACATAACATACACAGCTAGATTCGTGGTGAAGCCGCTGCGGTTTTTGGACGGGGCCTGCGGGAACTGACCTGGTACGGCCTTGGGCAAGAGGGGAATCGTGCATTTTATACTCGTCACATGTCGTAAAGCTTCTAGAGGTGATCATGGGAGCTTTCAGTGTTATACAAGTAGTTATGCGGTCACTAAGTATAAAAGACGGCCTCGATCAAACGAAGGGCGGCCCATGTCGAGGACTTCCCTTGGAACATCACCGTATTATCCTGTCCAGCGCCGTCTCCATCGTCAGTTACTATTAGTGTATTCATTGGACAATGCAGTGGAGTGGATCTTATACGAAAGACCTTGTCTGACACCTTCAAAATAAAGTTAGCTTTCCCCGAGATCCCCCGCTTTTAGCCTTCGGCACCACGTCTGGAGGAGGTTGCTGTCCTTCACAAATTTCGAAACTCCCAGGCCGGAAATCAATATCCGACTCTTGCACGTCGCTACATATCACAAGGAGTTTGATTCCTGGTGATTCTTCTAGACGTGAGGACGCTTCCACGACGATCCGTCTCGAGACATTGCCATGGAGTCCACTCCCCGGAAGCTCCGGAAGCGAAATGGCCCACAGGGTATTCAGAAACCCATCACCAGCCATGATCGCCGGACCGGGACAATAGCCTGTCAATCCTGTCATATCCGCAAGAGACGATGTGTTTATACTGCGCAACATCGCCGGTGCATGAATTGTCTTCAGGAAGACTATTCATGTGTACCTAGGGGGCATGTAATGCGGTATGCTGTTCGACCTTCGGCGAGGACACTTGGAATCGAGGAACTAATGTGATATCACCGTTACTCGCAGGGCCATCGAAGAGGAATATGAAGATAGCGCTCCCGACGATTCCCACCATACGTTCAATCTGCCCTTGCCGCATGGTATCGACCACGAAGTACCTCGTTGGGCAGCTGTCTATTCCATGGTTCAGGAGGTTCTGCATTTTCTTCCACCTGAGGATAGCATATCCGATCAACATGGAAACATAAATGTACCCGAAAGCGATGAAAGCCATCTGAATATGAGAGCCCCTGAAAGGGCCGCTGCTCAGCTATCATCCAACTCCACAATAAACGCACCAGGCGACCTAAATCACCCATCCACTGCACTCGAAAGCGAACCCGAGCTACCCATACATACATTATCACCTCCATGTCCTGGGAGCGATTCGGCTATAAATGAAGGCTTTGAGCTATTAGGTTATGTAAACAGTGGGGAGGGCCTAGATCTAAACGATATAGATGCCTTGCTCAGCTTTTGATGGACGTCCCATGGATTGGGTTTTCTTTATCCATGTCGGCCACTTCCAAGAGGATTTAGAAGTATCAGGTGTCCATTTAGCCTGTCAGAAATTGAAATATCGAAGGGGTAACGTACATGGGAAAGTTCACCAATGACTGATGAATTGATTATGGAAATGGTTTCTGGGGCGGACAAATTCGACGTACCAAATGTGTTCTGTTACTGTAAAAGGTCAGACAGTCAGCATCGATCCAAGTTTATCTAAAGTTGCTACTACATCATCGGATACTAATCTTATTAATTTATGAAATATTACTTTTGTCGCTTCGAGCCCGTATAGGTGCCTCCTATAAACGGAGCCTGCTGCTGACTCCGGATAGAGTGTATATGTCAAGGTCACATAATCGTCAAAACATCTTCGTTTGTTGGTTCACTCGAACAAGGCTGGCCTGGAACGCTTTGAAGCTCATTATATATTTTGTCTAGTCACATATGATTTCGGTTCTCGGCTCGGAAAGGATGTACCCGCCGGAAAAGCCCCTCCAGATAACGTTACCCCATCGACCTCAAATCCATATCGAGCCACATCTTGGTTGAAAGACTGGACTACCCTTGAAATATCCTTTGTACTGTCAAGGATTCCTATCCTCCTTCCACCGTTCCTCGGATCATCGATCTCTTGGCCGGAGGATCGTGAGGTGCAGCTGATTATCCCCAACCCCGCGTAAGTCAGCGAGGATGATCGCCTTGGCTAAGGCGTCCTGGGCCCACATCTTGCAGTCGACTGACGATGAGATACATGTAGTCGAGTTGAGGACATTTCCATGCTCCACACGATATGAATAACGGCATTGGATGGACTCTGTGCGTCTTTGAAATCGACAAATTCGGCTGCTCCCATCTCATTTGGTGGTTTGCCTTTCTGGGTGCCCGTATGAGCCACAACAGGCCTTGGCCGAGAGGCTTCTGCCAGCTGGACGATGCATACCCTTGTACCAACCCCACCCCCGCCGCTAAAAAGACACAGCTAAGCGCCAGCTTCCAAGTCAACTTCATAATCAATACATAAATGAAGCTTACATTGGACATAATAGGAACGACAATCTTGTCAGCCACTGAGCTTTAGAGCATAGCCGGTTTTCACCGAGGCTGGCGGTAGTGGAAAGCAGCTTCTGTATCTAAAACCCCTCTTTCAGGCGGCCGATGCTGTTGGGGCACGCTTCATTCTCCTGAAACCCCACTTTCGATTCACTGGTGGCTGGTCTGCTCGTCGAAAAGTGGGGAAGTAGAGTTTGAAGTAACTGCGGAGATGTTTCAGAGGCGGGCCTAGATGATAGATCTTGGCCTATTGTCATACGCATGCTATCGTTAACCGTAGTATAAATTAATCCCATAGGTATTAAAGCAAAGTTCCTATCGGACCTGAATCTCAAGTTTTACCATTTACCATTCAAGTAGTAGTTTCACGACGTGTAGACGCCTCAGAGTATTTGGTTACGACTAGGTGAACGTTGCCTCTCACACCATCACCTACTTTGATCCTTAGGTTTACGACTAGAATTGTCTTTACGTCTTTCCTCATGGCTCCTGACCTTGACGCTCTCGCAAAATTCAGGACAGATGGATATAAAGGCCTGAAAGAGCCTGGTGGCGACGCTTATGAGATCCCTGATATCCAGCCGTACAGCCCCTTGGCACGAAAGATAAGAGTGCTGTCCATCGGGGCCGGTGTGACGGGCATTTTAAATGCCTACAATATCCAAAAACACTGTCAGAATGTGGACCATGTCATCTATGACAAGAATGATGATATTGGCGGTACTTGGCTTGAAAATCGATATCCCGGTAAGTGCCAGGTTTCCTCCTCCCCTGGAGACAAGGAGAGCAAGTGACACTGACCATATGGCAAAGGGTGTGCTTGTGATATAGTGAGTCGACAATCGGCTGTCAGCCAATTTGAACTATGCCCAGTGTCGATGCAGTCAAGATCTTTTCATATCCTTGTCACTCCTCCCTCGGGTCCGTGCTACTTGAGCTCTAGCAATGCTGGATCTTTGGTTGTAGGAATGAGACCCAATTGGGACACAGAGAATGTGGCCTAATATCACTCGTTCTTGCCTCATATTTCCATCTTGAATTGGTTTATGCTGTTACTAATGAGTCCAATATCTAGCCGAGCCACGCATATACCTACCCCTTTGCTTTAAATGTAAGTAATGGGCCTGATATCTACTCAACAACAGAAAGGTGCTCTTTGATCGAAGGATGCTAAGTTCCTCTGTGGTGTAGCCCGACTGGCCTCAGTTCTTCTCTCATGCACCCGACATTTGGGCGTACCTTGACAAAGTTTGCTCAGTTTGGGATCTTAGAAAGTATATGACGTTCAATACGGAGGTGGTGGGTTGCTACTGGCAAGAGGAACAAGCTAAATGGCAGATCAAACTGAAGCGCACAAACCCAGATGGCACAACTCAAGTCTTCGAGGATTGGTGCCATCTTCTTTTACACGGCACAGGCGTCTTGAACAACTTCAAATGGCCAGATGTCCAAGGCATTGAGAAATTTAAGGGAAAGGTAAAAGGCCCTGGCGTACTGTTCAAGTCCAAAGGTTGACGGAGGATTCGTACAGGTTATGCACACAGCAAGATGGCCAAAGGACTATCAGTCCGAGCAGTGGAAACAAGAACGTGTGGCGGTAATAGGATCAGGAGCAAGTAGCATTCAGACCGTTCCTTCCATGCAGCCACATGTCAAACACATGGATGTATTTGTCAGAACCGGTGAGTTAAGACCTTCCCTTCTGAATGTATCTTATTATGCCCCTCTTGGCATGACATCTTATGCAACCCCAGGCAACAGCTCAGACTTCCACCTGAGGAAGCTAAGCTGTGAAGGACTGGGTACCTACTGACCACTATAAATCTTTACCACTTTCCATCGCTGCGATACTGGAGTTCTAACTGAGTCTTATTCTAGGTATTTGGTTTGTCGACATTGCGGACAATTACGGCCAGAATCATGTGTATACAGACAGCCAGAAATCCGATTTTCATCGGGATCCAGCTAACCTTGTCGAGCACGCAAAGTCAATCGAGGATAAGGTCAATGGTATATGGCCAGCGTTCTATAGCAACTCGACGGCCCAGGAGGAAGGCAAGAAGATTTTCCGGAAGAGGATGGCGGAATTCATCAAAGATGAGCGGCTGCTCGAGGGATTCACGCCGAAGTTTGGCGTTGGATGCCGCAGGGTGACACCGGGGGATCCCTATATGCTGTGAGTCCCGCCAACCCACTTACAATGAGAAATAATTCCAGACGTACGAAGCCATTAACATCACTAATCGATCAATTAGGGCGATTCAAAAGCCTAATGTCGATGTCCATTTCACGCCTGTCACACGGATCACGGAGAACAGCGTCGTCGGTGGCGATGGAACCGAGGTCGAAGTCGACACGATCGTCTGTGCGACCGGGTTTGACGTCTCATACCGGCCACGCTTCCCCATTGTGGGAAAGAATGGTGTCAACCTCGCCGACAAGTGGAAGCTGTGTCCCGAAGGTTACCTCGGGTTGGCCGTGCCGGAAATGCCCAACTTTTTGACGTTCATCGGACCGAACTGGCCTGTTGAGAACGGTAGTGTTATGGGACCGTTGTACCACGTCAGCCTATACGCGGTCCAGATAATTAAGAAGTTACAAAGCGAGTTCGTGGGAAGTCTGATGCCTAAACAACATGTCACAGATGCCTTTAATGAGCATTGTCAAGAGTGGGTCAAGCATACAGTCTGGTCGGAGGATTGCAGGAGCTGGTACAAGAACAACGAAACCGGCCGCGTCAATGCAGTATGGCCTGGAAGCAGTTTACATTATATCGAAATCATTAGGCAGCCGCGATATGAAGACTATGAGATTGAATACCTTGGTCCCGCCAAGAAGAACATGTGGGCGTTTATGGGTATGGGGACGCCACGGGCATTAGTCGAGAAGGCCGACATTAGTCCTTACTTAGCCCTTGGAAACTTGGATCCGGAATGGATGGAGGCTGTCGGTATTGGGCTATGTAAATCGAATGAACCAAAAGTGAGCTCGGAATCTGGCGCTCCGGGAAAGGAAGGAGAGAAATGTACAGACCAGGTGTGTCGGCCGTTGGAGACTCACCCAGAGTTGGGCAAGTAAATTGCTCCGTGTAGAATTGTCTTTATTTATTGATTCTTGTGCATTGAGTTAGGTGTTGGACCGATGAGAACTACAACATATGTGTCTAGTGTTCCTCGCGTTCTAGAAAGCTTCGTCATCCTGCCATAGCCCTACCTTCTAATGATCCACCTTATATATACATCAACGCGTTGATCCAATCACGAATAAATCTCAAACCCAAGCCGAGGCGGGTTCCAGGTAGATATAATCGACCAATTCAGCTTTCCAATCGGATGTCTTGAAAATCCTCCCTAAACCCGGCCGGGTTGGTTAGAGATGTGTGGGGTCAAAGCCCGTCTTGACAACAACTGCACCACTTCCCAACTAGACTAGGGCAGGTTAGCAAGCAGTCGTCTAGTGCCCATTCTGCGACATCGGAAGTTGGGGAGCTGCGAGGCCGGTTTGGCTTTCCGTCGTATCAAAGTTGTCACATGTTCATGTCAATGCAAACAACAGCTGATGACCGTCTGCATAACAAGAATCCGCTCCAATGGTGTTGATTGAGCTATAGGCTGGGTAGAAATTAGGCCCATTATGTCGATAAGAGACTACCAGTAAGAGACAAGTCCCCGGACACTGGTGCCTATCGCCAAATATGGCTTGATTCATAGGATTGCCCCTCCGAGGCCTTTAAAATGCAGTGGCCATGCTGGCTTGGATTCAGGTTTAACACGACTTTTTTATTTGACTGCGACATTTGCTGCTCACATTTAACAGGGGAAAAGCATTATGAAATTGATCGCAAACATTGACCCTTCATAGATATAACTGCCTAACATCGCAATGAGGCCTAAGCGGCTAGGCACAAGACACTGTGGGAGTCTACTCATCCAAATCCGAGACAAGCTCCGCAGCGTCCGAATATTCGTATCGGGTCGACGCGCGTTCTACTTCTGTGTTTTGGGCCAGCTATGTGTACAACCCAACCTGGCCTATTCTCTCGCATCTCATACGCTAAGAGCGACTTATTAAAAGCACAGAAAGTGAAGCTACCACTATGATTTGTCTCTTTCGTTTGTGCGATTGGTGTTACAACACTAATTCTTTCAGGCAGCGATCTTCACAGGTTTGAGCGCAAGAAAAATATGGTGAAAGTGGCGAAATAAGTAGGATAATGGCTCTTGCAGACACTTCAAACGCACAAGCTCTCCGAGAATAGGACTAAATGATAATGGCGCTACTTAACATATAAGTTGTGTCTCAAGCATTGGAATGCCATTGCCCTGGCGTTTATCATTTACCTCTTCGCTTTTGGAAGACAAGAAGAGAAAAGGAAAACCCCATCTTCTTCTACTAACATGTCTTACCATCGAATCCTCCCCAAGCCTGGTAGTTGGGATAATGAGTCCCTGCAAATCGATCATACTCAGACGACTACGAACCTTGCTGAATTTCAGTCGAAAGATGGTGGCATTCACAAAGCGTCCATCTGGGAAAGTCAGGTCGACTTCAAATCAGAAGGTGCGTTTTACTATACGTTCAACAACACAGGTTGTACCTGTCGGGTTGACCTTCAATGGTCCCGAGAGGATATGATCGAGTGTAGCTTAGGAACCATTCCGCCGTGGAACATGGAAAGATAACCAATCATAGCCTTTTCGCGGTACTGTCAATATTCCTTTCCTGCGGCGGCGGCGGCAAATCCAGGACTTCTACCGGCCGCTATTACTAGGATAGTAGAAGAGCAATGGAGGCGGCTTTCCCCGGCGGAAATGGAGCGGTGGCCGACATGGGGTGAAGTAAGTCTCGCCATCTGCTATGTGGAACATGAATTTAAGAGTAACCCAATGCTGATTATTTGTAGTCTCAGAACAACAAGAAACGACAATGTTATACCGGAGATGGGTCTCAGTCGCGGGTGCAGAATGAAGACAGTGAAACCCGTAGTGGAAGCTCAGCTGATGGATATAACAGCCCAGTGCCAAATCGGAGAGTTAGGTCCGTGGGTGAACACGATACATATTCACAGACATTATTGCCATCTTTGAAGTCCTTGTCTTGGGGTACCAATGATAGTTTTGCCCATTCCAATGATCTGCATGGGATGAAGGACTTAACTGATGCCGGTCCTACAGCAGCGGCGCATTATTGGGAAGCGCCTCGTTTGTGCCAGCCTCAGTGTAACAGCATGGCAAGAGAGCTTAACAGGCTGGATACACATCCCGTCGAGGCTCCTCCATCTTCAACCACTGAGGGATTGAGTGACCAGAGGTTCTCATCTCTGACAGATGCTTTTTCCGGGGAACACGGTCCTGAAACTATGTTTGGCCTTGCACAACCATCGTCGACGCCACAAAGAGCTAGAGCGTACTTACAACAAAGGCACCCTCAATCCCAGACTTTAACGGCGACTGGCCCTACATCTACACCGGAGATCACGGCAAAACTACTTTCAATTTTCAATAAGATTGGCACATTAGCATATCGTTCACCGCCCATCAATCCCGCGTTTCAAAGGAGCGGCTCTAGAGGTCCGGTGATATCAGTAGATGGAGACGATGCCTTCACCATAAAGTCGATAATCGACTACCTACACAGTACCTTACCCATTGAAGGATTCCGCACCCGGGTTTTCAAGGGACCAGAAGCCAGTCCCGGACATATGTCACGACGGAAAAACGGACCAATAGTTGAATATCTGAATAACATCCTAGCATGGCATCCGGTTTCGGCGCAAATTGTCGACTACATCCAGCATCCATACCGAGGGTTACGGGCCAAAACGAAGCGTGGCGACGAGCTCGGAAACGGGTCGGTGCCGGCCTCGCGCGACGTAGGCTATCCACTTCCTGTGGCTCTGATTTCCCGATATCAACTTACAACTGTGGATGCATTTGCTTGTGAGATAGCCATCGACGATCCATATTCACAAATGAGCCATCAGCAATGGATGGAATCTCTCTGGCGTGGCTGTGTGGGTCCCGATATCGTTGTGTATATCCAGGACCACGACATTCCGGACATGGGACCATCCCAGGAGCTCGTCTATAGTGCGCGCTTACAGGACACTCTTGGAATTGTCATCCCGCGTGCTAGAGGCTCTTCCAAAGAGCCCAAAGAGAGAGTTCTGAGACATGTCGTATGGGCTATTGATTCTATCGTGATGAACACTCGTACGCAATGATATGTCATTGATTTCCTTCTTTGTTGTATTTCTTTTATTGTGGCTACTCTCTTTATTCTGCATAAGAAAAGATGTATCTACTAGCATAGTATACGGGTGCTATCCAATCATCAGTGGTAAAATCAGTCTTTCGCAGTCGGTGTATTGTTGAACACTTGAGTACCATAGCTTGTGGGGAGTGACCACACCTCACCTCAGAATAACGACCTCCCCTCTTTCTTCCCCTTTTAGGTTTCACAAAGACAAACGAAAAGAAGGGTGGCAGATATCTAGACGAGGCTGATAATGAAGCGACCAAAGAAATGCAAAGGAAAAGTTTTCCTTCACGGGAGTTCCCTCCCGACCTTTCTTTTCAGGTGTTATACGAGGTGGCTGGTAGATATTCTAACGCCACGAATCATATGTGTTGGAATTACTCTGTACCCTGATTTGGCTGGCTCCCGCTCTATCACGGACAAACGCATGTCATGTTTGGGGTAAGGAACCCCTGTAGGGGGAAACATCTGCCTATGTGGATTATTGCAGAACAGTCACACGGTCGTGATCAGCGCGTGTCACAAGACTAATACTGACACGGAGCCATCTTGGGGCGTTAGGTAAAAGTAACTTTCCGAGAGTTATGTTGTATAACAGCTCCCAAGTTGAACACACCAATAAAGGATTCATGTCACATTACACGACCTGCAGGGCCGCGGAAATATTGGTCTCCGGTATGTCTTCTGCTCTCGCCAAAGTTGTACAGCTTTGAAAATATAGAGTCTTCTTGGTCTTCTCATAGAGTTTACTATGTTTTCTTCACACCTATCATGTGGTGGAGAGGACAAAAAGTGTTGTACAACGTTACCATGGCCTACTGTTGTCTCGATAATATCCGACATACTCGCTAGTGATTCTAAGTGCGATATACAACAAGGTAAGTGATACACTTTGACATTGTAACTCGGATATTCTTTTTCGTTTTGTTCTACTAGATGTTCTTTTTTCTGAAGTTTTACGCTACAACAAAATAGTCATATGGCAAATGATGTCTGGTCTCTCTACAGAAGCAGTATGAGTCACGCTCTCGATTAACCGCTGCGATACAATTGATAAACAATACATTAGGACGTGGAAATACCACGATGTAACTGTTGTACCCATGGTTTGTCTCACAATAACCGCGTGTGATGGGAGTTACATCCGGCAGTCATGCTGTAACATCCACACATCCACACCTCTCGATTGGTTTGTGTTCCAAGGCGACTGGCCACTACCATATCCTTGCTAGCATAACACCCGGGATATACTCTAGAGGTATTCAATTAGTGGGCCTCACGATCATAGGGAAGCTTCTTTATTGTATTGGGTATGTATTGGAAAAGGAAGACCTGGACGGTGAAATTCGTAAGGCGAGTGGGCCTTGCTCGAGGGGACGATCATTCTACATGGATAGGCTAACAAAACTCAGACACAGTGGAGAGATTTCACGACGTATATATCCTCCGAGATTAATGACCAGATGAAGACTAGGCAGAGAGGGTATCCTGTTTAAGGAACAGCTTTATATTCGTGGATTGGAAATTGTGTACCACCTTGTATCTCATTTTTGTCTAAGAGGTCATGGCGACTCGGCTATGTATACCGAATTTGTATCGAGAATGACAGTGTGCAGTCGTCTCCTTATTGGTCATTTATAGCGGCTAGGGTTATTTATTTAATGGTCCACATGACGTCTAAGTATCGAACAGCTTTAGATCGCCCAATCATGGACGTACTAGTGGTCGTGATCTAACTTGGAAGGTTGAAGGCGGAATTGTGCAAGGGATTCTTTCGAGGTTGTGAAGGGTTCCCAACCTGCGAGGCTGGATGTGTCGGAGCTGCTTCACCACTACCAGGAATACCACTCGTCCGATATTAATCACTCCAGACCCCTGTCGCAGTCGTTGCACCCAATTTTCAGCCTGAAGCTCGCCACCTGCAAACCCGCAACCACGACAATATTCAGAGAAGACACCTGTGGAGAGACTTTCAACCCAATAGACCGCAAATGGACAAGTACTCTTCATTACGTGAATAGATCTACTGTTTCGCTACTCTAATATCGCTCAACTTTCAGCGGCCTCCAGATTGCATAGATTATGGTGATCTCGGTAACGATAAACTGTGCAAGGAACCTGAAAAAGGGGCCGACAAAGAGCGAAATAATATCCTCAACAAAACAGATATCAAAGACGAAGTGACCACGGGTGATTCAGCAGTCACTCTTATCATCTTGAAATAACGGTCATTAGATCTCCTTGGTGGTGTCCATGGCTAAGTTCAAAACACCAAACGCCGGTCGGTATGGGAGAGGAAAGAAAGCCCATGCCAATCTTGATGCAAAGTATGTCTCGAGTGTGTCTATGATGGTAGACATCACTCTTCAGCGTGTAACATTCCTTTGCTCGAATAATGGGAGCCTTAAGTGGAAGATGAAATGTTTCCAGGAAGACTTTGAGAGCTGCTATCTTTTTATTTTAAGATATGGTAAGTCTTTACACCTTATTTTAGCATCAGGCTTAGGTATCTAACGAATATTAGGTAAAGGCAAACCGATCAATCGGAGGTGTTCGATCTCATCATTAAGCGTAATACATCTCGAATTAAATATTTCTCTGTCGCACATCGAGACGCATCTAAGCAGACCTCTAAGCTCAAATTGTCAGGTACGCTCAGGAAAGGTACGATAAAAGATGTGGTACTTCAGAAGTTCGAGGCAAGGGAGTGGCAGGGTCTCATCATTAATATCGATGAGAGACAGTCACCAGTTTCGCAGGAAATCCCACACTTCTTCTCGAAGAGAGAAATAGATAAAGCTGTGGTAGAGTGCAATAGCATCTGTACTATTTATACCATTCTCCCTGAAATACCTGGTCTGATAATGAGATGTTTGAGAACCACCAAGTGATTGACACCTGGCAATGCACATGCTCCACCAAAGCCCTAGGTTCGTGGTACTATTCCTCAGGCATCAAATTCCTTTGTGTACCTGCCCCTAGTCCATACGCAGCTACGAAGAATACGGTATATGGCGTCACTCAATCCCTTCATGTGGAACCAAGCGAGTAGCGAAAGGGTGGATCGTTCCTGATCGTATCGAATTAAATTGTGGCGATGCCAGCCGAATATGACTAATGACAGGCAGACCGCCATTTATCTACAGTCTTAGGTATCTTAGGTATCGCACTTGAAACCGGTGTAATTCACCTGCACAGCTTCTACTCAAAACATTATCTCCCCGAGCTGAAACGGCACCGTGATCCTAATTTAGCAAGATACCTAACTGTTAAATAACCAAACTCGTACCTGGAGTTATAGAATAAGTTATGGGTATAAACCAGACCTAAACATTCCTATTGAGCCTGACTAATGGCAGACTAGGAGAATCCGAGGTCCGTTACTGTGTGTTCAGTGCACACAGCACATTCTCACTGACATTATTGCACAGTTCCGATGCACGCTATGTGGTACCAGCTTCAACATCGCGCGTATCCGGACCGTCGATGAGCCCTTTTCAGCGGCGTGGTCCATAGAAGACCCCCGACATTTTATTTGTGCCCTGGACGATGATGCTGATGTGAAAGACAATGACTATGGCGACTGTTCCACTGCAGAGACGGGCTGTATTTGGGCTGTTCGCAACTGTCAGGATATCCGACATGGAACTGATGAGCAGAACGCGCCAGCTCACAGATACCAGTTTTTTGATATGGATGACGGCCGGCTCCCTAAGTTCGGACAAAAACTGCCGATGGGCAAACCATTGGACGAAAAGGCAGGCCGCATTGGCATAAGAAAGCTTTTTCTTGAACATGTCGCTGGTCCGGGATGTCGTTGTACAAAGGGATATTCCGGGGCCAACATCTCTCTGGAGGAGATGCGAGGCTGCAAGACTGGGCAGTGCCTGGTCTACGATAACGGGGACGAAGAGGCCGCGCCGGACGACCTGGAATGTGAAACTGACAGTGATTACTTTCTCACGGGGCTTGCCGACTGTATGCCATTTGTTGAGATTGGGGGTACGGGAGTGTCTCCCGCAAGGCATAGTCTTGATTGGATTGAACCGGGAGACCCGTTCAATAACGTATGATTTTCTCGCAAATTGTTGTGCCCTGCAGTACTGACAGTCTGCGGCAGTGGTTTGAACCCTACATGGCGGTGCCATTTCATCCATGGTGTTTTGGGATATACATGAAACTCAGCAAGCTACGACTTGGCCGTGTCGAAATCAACCATCTTGTGGACTACTTTGATAATATCGAAAGCTACCCGCGCCAGTACCGCGATGAGCCCGATCCAGCCGTCCAGAAAGCCACTGGTGAGTCCTGGGTCCACCTGAAGGGTGATGAATGGCTCGCTGCAAACCCATTTTACATGCCCAAACTTCGGGAGATCCTGAGCCGAGCGATGGAGACTGGCCCGTCCTTCAGCCCCCAGAATGGCGCCTTTGAACCCCTTATATCATTGACCAAGATTACAACCGACCCCTTTGCTCGAATCCCCCGAGAAATCCTTGATATGATTATAGACAATCTTTCCACGAAAGACATTGCGTCGCTACGTCTCGTCTCGCGTCAATTCTACCAGCTCCCCGTCTCAGTCTGGCATCGCCTTATTCAAGAGGATATGCCTTGGTTATGGGAGGTGTGGTCCTACGAGAAACCTTACTTCTGGGCGACGGTCACTGAGGGTGATATACAGCAGAATAGAGGGGAGACGAGATATGAGCTTCACGAGGAGCAGATCATAACACATACAATAAATGTTGATGAGCATTTGGCTAAATGGACGATGCCGATGCCTACACTCAGTCGAACCAATTGGTTTCTCCTGTATAGAGATATTAAACGGCATTGGAACGAATTGAGAGGCCTGCGGAACCGGCGAAGAATTTGGAATTATCAAGAGGGATTGATTGCATCGTTGAGGATGCATGTATTGAGTAATGCTGATAGTAGTAGTATGCGATAGATCATATCATGTGGTGGTGGTACAAACGTTACCTTCGGTGAGGACAGGTGTATATACATGCTAAGCCCTTGAGAAATGAATTAGAAATGAATTAGTATCAATCTGCATGTGGCTCT